AAATATAAAGAAACAATTTACACGCAATCAGTAATATACCTAAAGAATAAACCGACAAAAATGATAAACTTTTTCACAAAAGTGTCAAAATGAAAATAATCAGCGAAAAAATGAATATACGTAAGTTTTGTTGACTTTAAAGAGAAATTAGTAAATATTTAAAATTCTCGTTCACATGTGTTTATAAAAGTAACTAACGAATACAAATTTATATATTGTATGTAAATAATGTCAGAAAAATAAAGACTGTACATTGTACAATGAGGTCATACAATGCAGTGTTGGGAAAGTTCCTTTTTAAACGGAACTCGTTCTGTTCCCCGTTCATTTCCTAAGATAGGAACTCGTTCCAGATCCTCGTTCCTTAATCAAAGATCCAATTCTTCTACAAAAAGAACTTGTTCCACTTTTCGTTCCTTTTTTCTAACCAAGTTATTTAAAAAATTATTATTATTATTATGAATTTGATTATAAGGTTAAAATTATCTTGTGATTTCAAGATATCACGTTTTTCGTCAAATTATTTATTTAATATCATTGAAGGCATTTTATTAATATCATTAATATCAGATGAATATTAAATAATTAATAATTTTAAATCTAATTCAAAATTATAGGTATATCAATAAGTCGAAAATATGGGAAATGGAAAAATAAAATAGTTAACTATTTCCAAAAAAATAAGTAAACATAATTTTTTTTATTAGAATTTAAATATACTAGCATCTATTCAAAAGGCATCAATCTATTATCTATATAATATGTTTTATAACTATATACTATAATATAATAATAAATATCAGTTATAAATATCAATTGCTAGTAGTGGTAATGATATCATGATAACGGTCAGCAATAATCATCATCAACAGTCGAAAACAAAACAAATTTATGATATTCCTTATCTAAAAGTATTGGAAAATAATATTTATAGAGCAGCAGGCAACTGCTGACGACTTGTGTCAAGTGTTAACGCGACCGATGTCTATTGTCTACATAGAAATTAGAAATAATAATTCGGAAAACCCAAAACCTTTAAGATACAACAGTTAACAAGAAACGACGATAATATCCAATTGGCACCATACAATTAATTATTTAAAATATGTATATACATATATATATTAATGTCTTAATAACAGTATTTATAGTCAATAGATTCATTTAGATAGCCTACGATATAGGCTGGGGTATGTAGGGGTCGTTCCGTTGTCAATAGTCAACGTAAGCCAACTAAAAATAAGTCTTATTTAAAACGCTTAGAAACAAAAAAAACTACACTAAAATATGTTTTTAAAAATTTTAAGGAATTGTAATTTTCGTTCACGTTCCTCAAAAAAAAGAATTCGTTCATTTTCCTCGTTCCTTTATTTTTAAAGGAAGCAGTTTCAAGCTTCGTTCCTATAAAAAGAACTCGTTCTTTTGGAACGAATTCCTTCTCAACACTGATACAATGTATGTGGGGACGGAGCAAAGTGAGGTTGATGTAGTCACACGCCTTTAGGAATTATTATAACTAAGTGATGAAATATTAAATATCGGTAGAAATCATTGTACTTAAATCGTATTTATTTATTTGCTAATATTTGATGTTTGTTTATACGTAGTTTTATTCTTTCACAGTCTTAATGACTGGACGTCTGAAGTTCTAGGGATAAACATATAATTGAAATTGTATTATAAAATGTACTTATTATTAATACATCGTATTTGAAATAATAAAGTTAAATAAATGTTTATTAAAATATCCAATTACATAGTTCACGATTACAAAAATTGTCTAGGCCTACTTTATCTCTAAATCTATTTAAATAGTAAATTTAAAGTTATAACCTGCTAATACAATATAATGGCGAATTGTATATAATATGTCAATTGAATATTATCAAAAATCCACATCAATTTTATATGATTTTTTAAATTTATAAAAAAAAAAACATTATTCTAGCCGTATAATTACGTCTTATAATCGATCGTCTTAGATATAATTACTGGATATTTATTTAAATTAGAAATATTTACCGAAAAAGTTAAGGGAAGGACAAAACTGAACCAGAAAGTTTACCAAAAAACTCATTACCTACAAAAATAATATTTAACTACATTTTTTCGGATTTATAGGTTTTTTAAATTTATTTTTTTTAAACACATATTGTTGGTACTATATTATTCTATCTGTTTATTAATACTGCGTTTTTCAAGACTCAAATTACTATCATCTATAGTTATTTTTTGGTAAATGTGAATTTTATAAGTCTTATGAGTTATGTTTAACGATTTTGTTCACGATGCGGTTCACAGATTATGACGGTATTACACGCTGGTAATACAAAGACATAATACGATCTCAAATTTAATAGGCGCATTAAACTTCTAAAATAAACCGCGTAAGTCGTTTTGGTTAGAGTGTTAGACATATACTGTGTCGAAATCCATCGTGATTCCATTCTCCACTAATTATATTCATATATTGTACAATATAATATCGTCATGACTTTGATGTATTTTGCCAACAGCTCTTGCGGATCAAATATATCTATGACGATGATGTGACCGCAACACATTTTTTTTTTTTTTTGCCAACACCATCCAAGTCGTATAGCAGAGATTTTGGGACCACATAACAACCTTATTATGCTCAAAGACGGTGCGGTATAAGCAAGCAACAGATGTTTTATACACATATGGATACAGCTGGAAACAGCTGGCAACAGAAGAGCCGGTTGTGGTGAAGCAGTTTCATGGATACCGGATAGACGATGGCTGAGTCGACGGTGCTGGTCGGTGGATAGCAGGTATATAATATAATGGTATATAAAATACAAAGTCGTGACGGCTATATACCTATATAACATTCATTAATATTCTTCTTGTGTTGGCAACGGTGTATAATAGGTATATCGTATATTGTAGGTATCGTGTTGCGATTCCTTGTTCTAACCCGTTGAAATAGTTAGGGTCTCATGCGACGGTAATATTAAATGTAAGGTACATTAAAATATATTATACAAGTTATGTAATAATTATAATTTGATAAAAAGATAAAACAATGTTGAATGTCCGTTGGTATTTTGGAGATACCATTTGTGACAGAGCAAAATAATTGTTAATTCCAAAAATAATGTTATGCCATCACACAGTTATTAAAAAATTGTATATAGTATAACAATAATATTATGTTGTATATTGTATATTCCGCACTTTTTCGGCTTGCCCGTAGAAAATATTCAAATGCGAATAATAATTACTTGTTATTATTCTTGTCGTAGCTTGGTTCGGTTAGAAAAGGTCCACGGGTTATTACATAACTCAAAGTCAATTACAATACACCTCCCCTTTCATTTTCTTGACGCCTCACCCTCGCACTGTATTATATGAACTTGTCGTCGACACCCAATTAGTGTTATACAACGGTTACGTGACATATTTTGACATACCAACTCCAGTCAAATGTGGTAATGGATGGGTCCATTTTATAATATCTAGTTATGTTATATTTTATTGAGTATATCGGGTTTTTTTTTTAAATATTATTCTTTCACACTCATTTCAAGTAAGCCCCGTTCCCCTTAATTAGATGAGTGTGATATTATTAACTAATATACTACACTGATGACTGACTACCTAAAAAACGGAGAAAATTGACGGGACACCTGGTGCAACATTCATAAAATTTGGTAAATTTCAAAACAATTTTGGGGCTAAAATATTAAACTAATGTATTTGTAAGAGCATTAGGAAGTTAGCTCATAGTTATAATATTTATATGTATATCTTCAGCTAGACGACTTCGTGATTGCACAAAATCAACACTATACACATTTATGTGTATAAAAAATCCAGGCCAATTTCGAATTTGTACCACTGTTCGTACCAACATACTGTAAGGAAAACTATCCAGTGAAGTCGTCTAAACAACGACGGATTTAACATAAATAAATCAGTGATTAATAGAATATATCAAATCTGTTTTGAGTATTCAAAGAGAAAATCCAATTGGAATATTTTGGGGGAGCGTTTTAATATTTATACCAGTCGGTTTCACAGTCCTGCTTCACTTGTTCCACCGCTGTATCTGCTCTCCACATCAAATCTAATAATATACGTTGTACCTTTATCAATAATAGATCAAACGGCTAGAATCCCATATATCATAATATTTTATTTAAAACATTTTTATAACTTTAAGGGTTGAGCTTTTTATAAACTCAGTATTCTGCAATATTGACGGTTTACATAATTAACTTTTATATGCCTACATGTGAGTTGTGAAAACTAATACAAAAGTTTCTGAAAAAGTTATTAAGAAGGCAAAAATAAACGAGGAAAGTTTTTCCTTCAGTATTGTTTTTGCACAGTATTTTTTATTAGACATAATTTTGTTTATTAGAGTGCATTTTTCCAGACTTAAAATTAGTATCATCTACGTTTTTCGTATATCCCCACCTCAACTCTTGATAGATTAATACATGATAAAAAGTTGATGAACTATATGAGCTACACTAATGAAATATTGAATACAACTTACGTTAAGAAATTATACTTTGAGTTCATTTAATTGTTTTCGGTATTTTATATACTTTTTTTTGGAGAACATTTTCAATACTAGGCACGCTTTGAATATGACTATTTTCACCCACCGGTTTGCGACCTTTGGTTCTCCTAAAAAAATGTAATTTTGTCCTCTCGTGTGGGTTATCGAGTTGTTTAACGGTATCTACAATTTAATAGTGGCGATTAGAAGAAACAACCGTAGTTTAATGTTCTCCGACGCGGCATCATAAGTGTTTTTGATGCGTTTACTTTAATACACAATAAATATTATATTATTATTACGGACAATAAATCGGCATGGATGTTGACTCAAAGGTCGGATGAAACGAGAGATAGACACCGCCGTCGTAGTCTGGCACGGAGCATAATAATAATGATGATTATTGTGTCAAAACGGGAAAAAAAGATAAAAAAGCATTAGCATGATAACATAATATACTGAAGAACCCACGCCAGCACATCCGTAATAAAGCCAATCCGGCGTGGACAGTACATCAAGTGCACGTTGTTAAATTGATGTTTTTCTATACTTACTGTATAGTGTGCAGTCGGTTTTTTAAATTGATTTTCTAAAATTGAGTGGACAGCTGTTTAAAAGTATATATTATCGTCAGATAGCTGATGAATATTATGATCTCCATCGAGCAGTTTGTTGCTTTGGCGTTGGTTTGGCAAGTCTGCGGATCGTCTCCAACGGGTGAGTTTTGAGTCTTTTAACGAATTCACTGTTGACGGATCAGTTGTTTAAATATGTCTGTGAAGGGCCAGAAAAATAATTTGAAAAATCGCAAGTTTGTTTTATTTATTAAACACAAAAATATGGAATTATGTAAATAAAAATCGGTTTCCCACAAAACTTAAGAGAAGCCAACCGAATGCGCATCTTTTTGTAATCAGACCTTCTTAAAATAGTAGAAATGTTTGTAAGGCTTTTTCGTTTAATTTCTTATGTTGTGCTTGCAGTTTAATAAGAACAATATTTATTTATTTTTATATTTAAGGGTATGCACCAATGATTACAGAAATATACAGCACACACTTAAACATAGAACAAATAATAAGTTTAAACAACAAATACTCACAATACAAACTTATATTACAATTTAAATTGCGATTTAAAAACAAATTCTAAGACTTTTTGAAAACATTTATGAAGTATTAGAAAAAAAAATATATAATTAAACATGATTAATATCCAATATCTTATTTACCAGATTTTCGATTAAATTTTTCGGTTAAATATATTGTATTGTACAGGATCAATAATATTTTTATAATAAATGCGTAAAATAATAATAATAAATTGATGTAGATTGTAGACGTTTTATGGAAGTTTTCGACACCTAAAATAATGTTGCCAATTACAGTCAGAATGTATTACAAACTTTAAAGAAAATAAAATAAATTTATCTATACTAACTGCAATTTACCAATGCTAATTTTTTCCTTTTAAATTTTTAACGTCTTACTGGTAGTCCAATTTATTATATTATGGTCCTGTTTACCTTTTTCAAGGACAAGGTAGAGTAGAAGCGATTTGTCCTTATTTTCAATTATTAATATTACTGGTGTATTTATTGTCTTCCAGAAGATGGTGATTTGGACCAGTGTTCGCCAAAATTAGCAGATTCATGTTTCAAAAAGCTGTCGGCCGCCTTGAATTGTCACAACACGGACGACTGCGTCGACCCCCCAACGTTATGCTTGTGAGTGTGTTTTTGTTTTGAACAATGTACAATGTAAAAAAGTAAAAAAAAAAAAAAAAAATTGGCGTTTTTTTTCATTGAAGCTTGTTTGACGACTCATTAAACTGTTCGGCCGACATCATCGACGGCGATTGTTCCAAGTCAAACGGTATTGAAAGGTTCGATTCTTGGTTAAGTGGGCTGCGGGCCGTTTATGCTTACACTTGCAGAAAAGATCCAGACGGCAATTACAACCACACGTCGAGTAAGCCTATAAATTTTAAAAAGCCAAAAAAATATACGTTTTTTGCAATACAGATGGAGTACAGAAATCGTTGTTTAAAAATAATCCCGACCCAGTTAGGTTTTTTTAAAATACCCGTATTAAAGTCATATTTTTATACCTTACATATTTAAAAAAACCGTTTATTTTTTTAGACTTGAATTTGTTTTACCCTTTTCTAGACTATTAGCCGACCCTTAAAATCCGCAACTCCGTATAAGGTTGAAATTAATGGCTAACGACATAACCCAACACGATACTACTGCATCATTATTCTGCAAAAATTTGATTTAGTAAAAAAAATGAGTTTTGAAACGCTTTCAAGCGATAATAATTAGCCACGTTAGTGTTTTTTTTTCTCAACTTTAACTTGTTTAAAATCTTTATTTAATCTAAATATCTATGCATAGTTATGCTACATAAATTTAATTTTTATATAAAAAAAAAATAGATTATAGATAACACTGTGTATGAAAAATAATAAAAATTAATATTTCGGATCATACACATGTTATTTTTAACTAAACGTCAATCATCTAAATTCCTATAAATGTTTGTTATTTACTTATATCATACGACTTAGTAGTCCATAGAATTTTAGTCAAAATTATCGTTTCTTTTTATTTTTGCGATTCATGTAAACCAGTCTATTAATAATTATTTAATAATACGGATCAGGATTTAATAGGTAATTTTATTGTAAACGTAAACATTCAATTTTGTCGACTAAGCTCAAAATTAACCGTTTTTTTCATTTCCATATAAGTAACTAATAATAAATAGAATGTTCCAACAGTTATATTTTCTCATTAATTTCTCAAATATATATATATATATTTTCTCAAATAATTTCATTGGCAAAACAATTTAAATTCAAACGGTCTTAGGTTTTAAATGTCCGAGTTTCATTTATTACTTTATCTGTAGACATTTTTCTTTTTGTTTTCTGTCGAAAAAAAAATAATACAAAATGTACACATAAGGTGACCTTTGTACAATTTCTTGATGACTACTATTAATTTGACAGTGTTAAGAGTAGGGTAGTAGTGATTATCACAAGGTTTTTATTCTACAAATGATAATAGGTGGCCGTATTATCCGCATAGGAATTAATTAGAGGCCAAGGCGATCATTTTTGTAAGGACCTATTATATTATGTTTATCAACAATCGAACTGGTAACTACCGAATGTAACACTTTGTGTAATGTATGAGTGGCAGTTTATGTGTTAGCCATGGAACACAAACAATGGGTTCGAAAAGACTATTAGGTTTGGGGTAAAGGCGATTTCACAATTTCGATTTGTGATAACTAGTTTTCGAAAACCTATTCGATTTAACGACACTCTTGGCAATAGAAAACTTATCGCGGTTAACTATCGCCTAACGTTATCTTATCCAAATCTTTGTCGTTTAACGGTGTTAGACTTTCGAATCACGTTCCAATGACAACGTGGACACTCTCAGGCCACGTCGTACCGTATTTGTTTTATATTTAAATACATAATCAAGCGTACCGTCCGTCTCGTGTTAAACAATAGGAGGGAAATTAAAAATAAAATACATGCATGTCTTGTGTACAATAAACCAATAGCAAATGACCGTTGTTTTTATTGAAATCTCTTTGTCATAATATCACATAAGAATAAATAGCGTCGAGTCAGTGATGACTGAACAAACAGTGACTGTAGAAACAGTTGTCATCATTGAGAAGACCCCACACATACATGAGTTGAAAATTAGCCCTAAAGAACCGTTTAAATTTGTAATTTATTCCATGATCATTTAAAATAGACCAAGTATAATTTCCGTATTAACTATTTAAATAAAAACCTAGTCATTGCGTTAGTGAGAATAAAAATAATTAGTAGGTGCGTTTCTCGACGCTATAAAATTATGAACTCTTGCTTTGATAATGTCGTTAAAGTTGACAATTTCCATATTTGTTGTTTTCAGGCGTTTTCAATAACGAATGTTGGAATCGTAAGCAATTCGTCTCTTGCGTTGGAGAAACTTTGAACATACATCATGTCGTGGACTTGCTTAACACCGCGTTCGATTACAAAAAATGCGTGTAAGTTGATACACATAAAAAAAAATGTATAATAGAATGATCCAAAACAGATGGGCGACCGTGTTCTAAAGAAACTCGTCACGTTTAGGCGAAACGCAAAATCAATATTAAAAATAATTAAAACTCCCAACGATTGATTCCATACAAAATTATGCGTTATTTCAAAGAAGCCGGTGACTTACTTAATGTAGGTTGTTAAGTTAGGGTACCAGTTGAGTAATTTTTTCTCCTACAGCAATTCATTATCCCTGTTGATACGATAAAATGAAAATCGATTGCTAAGTATGTATTTCGGTTTTCCTGAGTTGAGGACACATAGTCGGTTTTGGACTATTGTCCTTTGTTCGTCACTGTGGTAAAAAATGATCTCCAGTATAGTTTATGAACGTCGTTAATGGTGTAAACCAAACTAAGCATCGATCAAAGCTAAAATTATTGATCGGATTCCTATTAATGTGCAATTTCAATTAGCCTTCTACTTTTATCTTATATTCGTTTCATTTTAGTGTACACTGTACAGATATTGATTCGAGTGTATTTGTTTTTTTTTCATCGGCATATATAGGTTACCTATGTCCCCGAAAATTGATCCAACTCAAAGTTCTAATACAAAAAAGCGATATTTTGATCACTAGTTTTGTATTCATGCATAAGATATTGATTGGCAGGATTTTCTGCTTTCCTCTTCTCGGATCAGAAATAATTTACTCAACTAACACTTAACTACTTAACGATACAAAAGTACAACCTGTTTGTAATTATATTTCATAAATCATGTTAATTAATTTTCTTGCAGCCGTACGATCATCTCCATGTCTACTTGCAACGCCATATCGCATTCTACCATGTGTAGCAAATTTCACGACGCGTTCCTCAACGATTTGATATCCATATTTTTCCTACAACATAAGTGCAACTTCGAAGAAGTAAAAAGCGGAGCGGAGTCTTCTCGGACACCACAATTGGCTGTTTATTATGTTGCTTTGGCCGCCGTGATTACTTTGTCCGGCTTCATTCACAACAATGTAAAATATTAAAACAAATTGTGTTTTGTAAACTTTGAAACCGAATGTGTTATGCTCTCATGACAGATGACTATTTTATTGGCGTACAAGTTGTATAGAATAATATTATTTTAACTTTTATAAAATTTAGTGTAAGCCGTAAATCGAATATTCGAATTTTTTTTTTTTTTTTAAACAGTTGCACCACTGCTAATCATGTATTCACAATGTTGTGAAAGTAGGTAAAAATCTGAGTATTCAGAATTTTATCAAGTTGAAAACTAAGTTATAAGTTTCAAAATCCTATTAAAAAATTGAACCCTTCCAGGTTAAAATACGGATTTCGGCCAGTCAATCTCATCTCAGAAAAAATTTGACTGTTTGTTGAGAGGTTAAAATATATTGAATCCATTGGCACAAATGATGGAGGTAGGGGCTTGGAGAGTATCAATTCTATGCCCTTAAACAAACAACTTAATATCCTTTAAGCAGTTTTGATTGTTGAAATGAACTCGAAAGAGAGATTCGAACAGTCTGAACTCTATATTATATTGCTTCGTTACTAAGAATAAACGTTTCCGGTGATCGTGTGTGCTTTTTGTTGAGAAAACTCTGTTGATAAATGATTAACGGCGTATCGGCCGAGTTACTAATGAACTCGTCGAAACGTACAGCGAAGGCGTAACATCATATAGATACCTCTATAACATAATATAGTGTTTTCAGTGTCATTAAGTCGACCGAAACGCATTGGACCGAATATCATGCGTCTTAAAATATAATATAACGAAGATCGGAGCCGTTGTAGGTGTCTTTATTATTGTCAAGATCGGAGAACTCGGTTCATCGCTTCGGTTAAAGTCGAGGTAGTCCACGTGGAACCTCGTCCTCCTCCCCAAAGTCTTGCGGACCGTATTATTATTGTATACATTCCAATTACGGTGATAAAAGGCATATAATGGTATATGTATCTCTAACACACTGGGGGATGAATGTTCACTTATTTCCGACGCTCCAAGCACACAATTCACCGAAAATGACGTTTCCCGTGTCGTCTAGTAGTATCATTTCTAGAATATTATTTTTATTTTTAACCCGCGTTATCGGCAAGTCCATAATAATCATATTATATTGTTGTTATATTGGTGTAGAAGTTCGGTTCGCGACTGGCGACCAATGAAAAGTTTATTTATAACGGTACAAGACGCTATTCTTGTACAAGCTAGACCCTAAACAAGAGACTTAATTGCTAATAAAACAGCTGCAAAACAGTTGGCCTTAAGCATTACACAGCAAACACCGTGTTACGGTAATTGGATCATTAAATTAAGGAGCTGCCTAATAATATTAATGAAAATATTTGTGCCCTACAAATAAATGAATTACCGTAGAACCCTAACGATCCGCAGTCAAGACTAAAAACATATTATATTAAGTAAAAAATGAATATTTATGTTCTACCTTTGGCAGCAGTTTTAGAATTTAAAATGTGACAGAGGGTGAACCACTGTATAAGCTACTTGTAGTGTATTAATTGGTTTAGATTTTTTTATTAAAGAGCTTACAGAATTAATTTTAATAGATAAATGCCATTTTAAATATTTTGTTTACAGTCTCTATAAAAAAAAAAAAAATCATTGCTAATGCATGGGTTTTTTGTTTGAAGTTTAATCTAATATTATTTATACTGAATTAAGTTAACAAAATATGGCCCTATTGATCGTTTTTTTGTAGACACAACTAATCTAAGATATACTTCGAGTTTTACCTAGAAAATAAGTCAATTATAAACAAAAAAAAGTCCAAAAGTTTTTTACAATTAATCAAAGAATAATACAATAATTCGTTTTACATTTTTTGCGACTCTGTAATGCTCATTTAAGTTGTACTTTTGTAAAATACAGAAATGTGCTATTATGAAGGAGTACTTTAAACATTTTTATTGCATGTTATGATGTTTTTATTTATTAATCAATAATTGATTTATTCTGAATATTATGCTATAAATGGTATTCCAACGAACAACTATTTTGCAATTAATGAAAATAGGTTAGCATCGAAACTAAAATAAAATTATAAATAATTTAATAACGTTGATGCATTAGTAAACGGAACTGTGCGTGTATCTCCGTTATTAGAGTTTGTTCTATTTCGACATTAATAACTAAAACCTTTTTTTTTAATCATTTTTATTACTATGTCCATTAGGTGGACAGTGTCTGCGTCAACCCAAATAGCCTAACTACACCCTGCGAGGATAACGGAATTGTCGGTTCTCATCGTTAGCTTTTATTGGAGAATAATTTAGAACTTTTGAAATTAAAATTAAATATATTATAGTATTTTACTTGAAAACTTTATCAAAAGGCTATAAAAAAATAATTAATTTGGTCGTAATTGTAAGACTAGGTTTCTTATTTTTACAAAGCTTAAAAATTAGTTATAACTTTTTTTTTACTAAAAACTTTTATAATTTAGGTAAAAATATTATTAGCCTTGTTTTATAATGAGTTATATCCGTAAAATAAAAATGTTTAAATTTTAATAGGATATAAAGAAAACAAAAAAATAGTTCGACCTTTCAGTAGTGTACTTATTATAAATTAAATTTTCAAAAAAAAATTTTTAAGAAAAATACTACTCTTTAAAATGATCTTGTTTTTTTTTAAATTAAATAGTTAAACAATTCTTTTTGTACTCTACCTTGCAGTTTTTTGGAATAAACGGGTGATTTGGGATGATAGCAACGACCGTAAACGAAATAGTTGACTTAGAAAACTCGGTTAATCGATTCGAAGACGTTAAGTATTCTGTATTTTATTACAAAGTAAAATCATTATAACAAAAAGTAGCTAGGTATTTCAGTGTGATCGTAACTTTTTCGCGGTTATGTAATCTAATAGAACACCAGCAATGCACACCGGAGAGCAGTCGTTCTTGTACGACATTTGTTTAAAGAGTTTCACGCATTTGACAAGTTTAGTATCGCACAAAAGAATCCACAAGGGAGAGAAACCGTTCCATTGTGGAGTCTGTCACAAGTATTTTGCAACCTCGGGGAATAGACATTTCCACGAAAAGCACACACACACACACACACACACAAAACATTTCGTTTTAAAGTCATTCCAAAGTGAAGTTGATCTCAAGTCGATAAGTCATGCGGTTTCTAAAAGAACACCTGCACACGTGTTACGATAAGTGAAGTACTCTATGTTATTTACTTCAATGCGTAGCTGAGAAAGTATTGTTTTTACAATGATTTGTTTTTATTTTTTTTGTGTCTGTACTCATGATATCTTCTTAACAAATGAACCGATTTATTCGTGTAGAAACTCTATAGATCAGAAATCGTAACTTAAAGGTACTTATTGGGCCAAAACTTAAAAAAAAAATCACTTTTTCCCCTTTAAAAACGAAAAAAACGCTCAAAAGTGTTTTTAAAAATAGTCAAATTAGTTCCAAATTGGTATGGAATATTTTTTAAACATAGTACTATCGATACACATTGAAAAACCCAAAAGATATCATAAACCCTTTCCCCTAAACATTTTTTCTTTATTTCCTTTTTTCATACATACCTAACCTGACCTTACAGTGTAGTTTTATGGTCATTTCATCCAAATCTAACTTGTCGATGAATTGCTGTATCAATCTAATCAGGATCTTAGATCAAACGATATAGTCGTGCAATCGCATCGACTATCGTTAGTCTTGCGAGTCTGGACTCTGGAGTCTAGACCCTTTTTAAAATTGTTTAGATACTGAGTACATCTTTTAACGCCCTACACCAGTTCTCTCTTAAAATTATTGCATTTTTTCTTTTTAATAACATTTTTGATAATGCTGTATTACAATATTCATTTTTTTTTAAATATTAATTTTTAGACCTTTCTAGAGTTTTATCCACTTTTAAAATATTAATGGTAACGTACATATTTTATTAACTTATTATATTAAGAATAGTTTGCTGAACATTTTGACTGGTCAATAACTAGTTTTGAATTAATAGTTTTAATGTTTACACTATTTACGCAATTTGAGGTCACTCACACTTGAGTAGCTTGACTGGTTCGCTAACGTTTCGAAATATTTGTATATTCCATCTTCAGGGATTACCTCAAGTTGTGCAAATAATGCAAATACTATACTTGAGTTTTAATAATTTTTTTAGTTTTAAAGTTCAAAGGAGAAAGGATGGAGTGTAGGCTTATTTTTATCTGCACGCATTACTCAACCGCACTACATTTCCAGTTCTGAATTTTAAACTCTTAAGTAACTACAAACATAATCGACAGCATGCATAGTCTAAAAAAAAATGCTAGGTATATTTTTAGATCCTAACAATTAGTTATCGAGTAGCACAAAGGAATATTGCGATAAGTCATGACGATGAATGCTGTATTAGTCTACTATTACGTCTACAAATATTTCTATGGTTTAGTCAATGACGGTGAACCGTTTGTTGTCTGTATGTACCTCATCATGTGTGTGTGTGCGTATTGTACAGTTTGGTCAGTACGTTGAACAAAAGGTGTGGGTCTAATTATTGTGTTAAACGGCAAACCGTATCTCTGACAAACACGACCTTTGAGCCGGAGTATGGCCTACCTCTTAATTTGTCGAACGCCTCTATAGTTTCCTTCGGTGTATGAACTATCTAGATAACGAGAAAAAAAACGAAATGCCATTGCTGTTCTCAAATGCGTTCAGTATCAAAAACCACTGCCACGTTTGCTCGACATGATTTCCACAGTCCGAACGACGCTCGGTTTATACAGTGGAATGTGCGTTTAATATTGTCCGTTTGAAAAATATACACGAGTTTTCAAGTGCCGAACGAACGCGATAATATGCACTTAACTGTCGGATTCAAAACCTACACTATTCTACAGTAAATCTCAAACGTAAGCCCTATCCGCCGCAACCATGGCGAAATCCAGCACTGGACCAAGCAGGGTTTTGCTAGCCGGTTTCTTCTTGGCCGTCATTCTGGAAATGGTCTCGTCGTGTGAGTACAATACCAAACCAATACTAGTCGAAAGACTTTAGTTAAGTACAAGAATAGCTGAGTAATTGCGAAAAGCTATTCACAGCGGCAAAGATTTTGTCGACGAAACCTTTATTTCGCTCATGACTTTTGATATTAACAAGGATTGCTAGGCTTGAAACTTACACAAAACGGGGAGTAGTAACTAACGATCTCTAAGGAACGACCTCTTTAGATTGACCTAACTTAACCAATACCCGTTGAGGATCATTCAATTGGCCTGGATTTCCCAAAACCCTTGTCTCTAGTCATAAAGTGTATTGGACTTGTTAAGATTCCTAACCTTCAAATCGACGGACGGCTATAAATTCCATTTTTAAGACGTAACGGTTATGTATAAATATTTTGGCTGCTATTAGGCTTGGTTAGGTTAGAACCATCTCCTAATAATAATATACAAGAGGTCTAATGATCCTACCTCAACCCTTTTATATTTTGTTGACTGTCTCAGTAGTGTTAATACGAACGTAGGCACACATATGAATATAACAAAAATGTATATGAATATTGGCTCAATGTTCGTATTCAGCTTATTCAAGTTACGATTACTATTGCTAGCCGAGTTTTAAGATTTACCTAGGTTTCCGAAAAAGTCTAAGAAACAAAATAACTAATATTCAATTAAGTGAATCTCATGAATAAGACTCTGAGTCATTAGAAAATAGTCATTCATGGTATCTAATACGTTACTATCAAACACTAAGCGTAAGCTTGATTAGAAAGTTTAAACGCTCAAGTCTAATATTTGAATTATATTGCAATGGAATTTCATTTACAGCAAATTACAACATATTTATTGTGGTAATAAAGTAATAAAATATAACAGTGCAGGTTCGATTTGTACAAACATTGGTTTTTAGCATAATCAACGATTTAAAGGTTAAAATCGATTATTAAGATTCAAGAATTGTGTATAACATTTTACATATATTGTCTTGGGAATTCTAACAAGAGGTGGTAGTATATTTAAAACACATCATTGTGTATTTAGGTAATACTTTTAAAAAATCTTTTGTTTTTAGCGTTTTTTGCGTAAGGAACTTCAGTAAAATTATTATTCATTAATTTGTCAGTAAAACTGTACAGCAGACATTTTGAAATATTTGACCTAATTTGACCAAAAGTCCTATTACAGAGCAACGCAAATAGTGATGACTTTATAGCAAAAGTATTCCCTGTACTCAGCCGCCGACGTTTATTTGTTGTTATTAAAAAATACTTAGCTTACTCGAGCTGAGTAAGCTAACAATTCTCATTAAGTTCAAGTTTAATGATAAAACAACTGCAGTGGGCGGCCAACAGCATGAACTAGTATTATATTAGCAGATGAAATTTGCCACTATCTAACTCTAGGATATTGCATTAGAACCAGGAAAAAAGTTTAAACAAATATCTGCCTCATGCTAAAAAAAGTCTAAACAATATTTTTGACTTGAGTTATTGTATTATATTCTGCTGTTGAAATAAAATGAAACTACTAGATTGATTTATTAAAAAAAAAACCAATTATAATAAGATATATTTAATTACTGATTGCAAATTACAAAAATCTATAGTAAAATTATTTTCAATAAATACTGAAAAAATTTAATGTTTTACATTCGAAGGGGAAATCCAAAAATTTACATATTTTTCAGTTTGTATATAAAATAATTAAATGAGTTCCCATATTATTTGGGATTTTCTTAGAATTTAGAACTAGAAGAGATAAAAACTTTTTTTTATGAAATGTTTAAAGCGTTTTTTAATTTTTCGGTCTAAAAGTTAGACAAGATTGATCTAGTTTGTAAATACTAGTTTCTTAAAAATACAGTATTGCCTTTTAAGTTTTTTTTATTGATAATTTAATTATTTTGTTTTAAGATTATTTAGTTACATATTAACAAATTAGTATGAAATAACATCCATACCAATTAACCCACTCCTAGATTTTACACTTCAAGTCAAACATAATTTTTACTTCAAAGCATCAATTAATTTATTTCGAGAATATATTGGCGTTAAATTATTTATAAATTAAAACATAAAAATATATATATAATACTATAAGTATACATAAATATATAATACTATGCTGGGTTGCACAAATTTATGATGCATTTAATGGTTTTGATGACCATAAAACTTACTTTAAGAAGCCAATAAATGTTTATTGATTGACCTTTAACGAAGTTAACGCAATCCGGTATTAGTGTTATTTTGCTAATTAGTTATTATTGTTTTATATCTTAAACATTTTTACTCCGTTGACTTAATTGAATGATTAATGATTGTTTGGATTTTGAAGTTAAAATCTTTAATTTTTCTATTTAAAAGGAATTATTTGTATTTATTTTGGTAACATGTGAGATGTTGAATATATGTAGCTTATTAATCTTAATTTTGTTTTCATTAATTATTACTAACTAATTCATTTATTTGGCATTTAGCATGGTGAGTTGTTTTCTTTAAATAACGTTGTATTCCTCTGTCATGCAGATATTCAATGCCGTGATGAATTTATGCAATTAGTAAAATCAAAGATTAAGAAAATAGATTATTTACCGTCTTTATAATAACCTTAATAGATGTGTGGTTCAATAAATGAGATATTATGGAAGGGGTGGTCATAAAGTAGAGCAATGTCAGCTTGTTTTTAAACAGTTTCCCATTTAAATAAAACATGTTTATTGTTTACAACTGTGTTTTGGTAAGCTCGAAATCTGGAGCATGCCAATAAAATATGGCTTTAAATCATTTAAATCAAATTTTATTGGACGTAATACGATTACGTTCAATGGTTAATGTTTTTTAGATTTTTACTTTCGTTCAACGAATCCAATTGGTTTATTTGTGCTATAGGGTCATTTTTTTCTCAGTATTAAAATTATACAGTATCAATGATAGAAACTAATTAAAACGAAAATCACTAATGTCGAAGATGAATTGCTAATGCCTACTAGTTAATTCATAATATTTTTTAAAATCTTTAACTTGAATAAGCAATCTTAAGTCCTCTTAAGCTTTAGCTGGCGGATCTCTGGCCGTCGCAATGGAGATGCGCCAATGAGATTTTTCTGGGTTAAAAAAACTATTAGAAACGACTCGATACGGATAATACTGAACGAGATAAATGAAAAAATACCTATGTTAAGTTATCCGATCGGTTTGACCTCATTGTTTTTCCCATGATATTAGACGATTAGGCGGTAATATAGCTGGGTAGACCCTTAAATGTCCTTTAACAGTCGTATAAAACGTTAAATGACCTGACAGCCGAGCTAACGTATCATGTTTCAATGTTTAAGTACTTCAATCGCTTTTAATAGGCAAAAACAATTCGGAAATTTCAGTTTTAAAATTTTTCAATAATAATTACAATCCAAGAACAACGTACATGATAAAAAAAATATTTAGCAATGAGACTATTGGATTTATTACTAAAAGGTAATACAACTTCTTAACTTCGTCGTAGCTATTTATTCGGTTAAATATCGAATTACTTGAAGAGACATATAAAACATATTATATAGTAATAATTAATATATTTTGTGTGCTGTATATTTAAAAAATACAAAAGCGACATTAGCGACATAGATATATCATCGCGGCGGAAAAAGAGCGTTATAAGTTTTCGGTCCCAAAGCAGAGTTTTAAATCCAATTTCGTTTAACATTACATAACACCGCCAAAGACGGTATTATAATGATATTAATAATTTGTATTTTTGGCGTGGGTTCTTATGTAACCCATTGCATTTAATGTCGCAAGGGTAATATTATACGGTATGTTTTTTATATTCCTTCATCTACCCGGGGCACATTTTTGTACCCAAGGACGAAAATAGGAATGTATAAGTAATGAAGTACCTAGAAACCGTTCGGGGTGCTTTTCTGGGAAAATCTAGAATTACTTGCTAGAAGAATGTCAGAATTGTTAAATTAAACACCTTTTTTACACTTGAAAAAGCATTGATCCTAATATAAGCCCAAAGACGGCTATCGAATTCGGAGAAATATATTATCGCTATCGAATTGCTACTCGGTAAATTGACTATGAATAAATTAAATTTCAATAACAAGCGATAAGAGTACCAGAATCGAAAAATTGGAGAATATTGTTTTTTACGGAAATTGTTTTTTGTTGTAACAGAAAAAAAAGTCATTAGTCAAAAAACAAAATTAGAAAAATCAAAATTTCCAAAACTGTTAGTGGCTTAATGATTTGTAAGACTTGCAGAATTTTCATTTGAAAAATTTTCCAGGAAATTATGACAATTTGTTTTTTTTTAATGGGGATTTTTATGAATAAATTCGGTAAAACTCAAGTTTTGGAAATAGGGAAAATGTATTCTTAACTCCAAAAAACCTATTCTTAACCTCCCACGTGGAGTATAACATCATATATGGGCCACATATAATATGGCTATATGTACTATAATGTACAGGGCAAAGGCGCGTACAAAGGTGCAGTATATTTATTTCTAATAAATGATTCAATGCATTTATAGTAGCGAAATCAAATATTATACCAGTTAATCTGATAAAGACTAGATTCTTGGATTGGTCATGATTGTTGTTATAATAATCAATTGACTTAATAAAAATAGATACTAAAAATTATATAATCGATGTAATGCAAATTATTGTTTATAGAATCAAAATGGTAACATAGGTAAAGACTGAAAACATTTTTTTTAGGTTAAAACTTGTAATTGAGGTAATTTTTATTTTAACAATTTATTTAAAAAATAATAAATAAATAAAAAATACTGTATTATAACTATAATAAATTATAATATTGTTAGTACAAATACAAAATATTTGTAAAGAATAAGACATGTAGCCATGTTTACACAGTGTTAATGAGTGAAGTAAAATTAACTTTTTCTGAAATTAAAAAATTCAGTTTCGTTTAAGATATTACTCGAAATCACCTAAAGAGTAAAATTTGAATTTCATATTTTTTGAGTAAATATATCACAGCTTCAATAATTGCCTATATTACTTTCTTGATTTAAAAAAAAAAAAAAATTGTTTAGGGCAGTAAAATAGTGTATTGTGTGAGTACTACTTAATGGAACTAATATAGTTGCTTTATCCGATACAAGAAGAATCAACATAAAAAACGAAATTCTAAAACTAGAATAGGTCACACCCTCTTCTAACTTACTTATCGATTTTTTAGTGAGTTAAATAACATAAAAGCGAATATTTTAAGACATGCAAAACTATGTTTATTTTGTGAGGGGTGTATTATTAGAACTCCAAACTCCATTGTACGTTGTGCGTTCTGATAATAATAGTTGGTAAAAGTCTTACGGATTTGAGAGTTGTAGCTATTTGAGGTCATACATAATGTATAAACACAGATTTTTCTATATTGTGTTTAATCCTATTCGCTTACACGTCCCATAAACGTCGATGATAAACGCCGCTTCGTTAACCTTTTACTTTCGCATACATGATGTATGCAGTACAATAATAATAATACTAATAAAATATTATTATAGAAACAGTTATAGAACACAATATTATGACTTGGCAGTGTGTACACGATTTACAATGGACGCATGTCGGTTGCGCTGGGAACGGTGTGTGCTCAGTGGCCGGCATCAATAATGTAAAAACTCTGTAGTCCAAAAGCATAGTTTAACTGGACAGACAAAGGAAAACTTCTTTCCAATTACCACTTATTATTATAGCGTTGGCGATATTTTCAAAACACATTAATCTTTGCCGCTTTCTTGTGCCTTTCCCGGCCCATCACGGTTCAAACAGATAGGCTGATCAGTTTACCTCGACGAGTCCCGTCGGCTTAACCCGAATTGGCTGCGCAATACCAACTATTTAACACGTAGTAATGGAATGTACACAAACCTACAATGTGTATCCGGGATAAGTACTTATTTTTATGTTTGGCCCACTGATTCCGGATCAGGGACATAGTATAGGAACCAATTTTAGGGCAAGATATGTTTGGAGAGGTAAAAAAGTTGAAAAATATTTAGCTGGAAATAGTTTTTCGGAAAGGTGTCTAATGGAAATTGTGTTTAAGCGGATTGTTATTTTATAAGAATACAGGTTTTTCGAAACTAAATTTATAGGGATTAGGTTTTTTTTTGTAAAAAACTAATTTCTTGGGTGGTAATATATTTTTAAATAAAAACATTTGGAATGACAATATTTTCTAATTACAAAAACCTAAATGTTATAACGTAGAAAAACACTTATTGACTGGAACTTATAATGGTGATACATATAAATTACAAAAATAATTGAGCCAACATTTCCAATAAAAAAAAAAAACATCAACTTTGATTCGAATTATTTCTTCAGTAAACGCATTGGTTATCAATATACACGAAAATTGTATTATAATATAGTATAGTAATATTCTTCTTATAGTACATACATAAATAAATGTTACTAAGTAGCCGAAATCGATGAGTTTAAGTCACTAAGTTTAATAAATTATGACTCAGGCATCTGAAAAATTGCCAATTATCAAACTAGGAACGACAAGAACCAAATTATTCATACAAATTAAGACTAAAACGGTAATTTACTTTCCGAGGTATCACTATTAGAGTAGGGATTATATAGTTAATTTTTCATATTTGTTAATAATACCAACTTGTTATAAGCCTTAATTTAAAAAAAAAATTGTTATAAGCCTTAATTTTTAAAAAAAAGGGTTTCCTAATTAATCTCAATTTTTTCTAATTACAAAAATGATAAAGATCTGATTATTTTTTCAGACGTGACGATCAAACACAACACTTGTTCGAGATCACCTTGTCATAGTAAGTGCGATCGTCCGAGGTTTTATTTTCGCGTTTTCGATTTCGATCATAACACCAATTTAAACGTTTTTAGGCAACGGCAAGTTTAACTATTTGTCCAACACCCTGTACGTTTATCAAAACGCCATTCGGATACAGACCACGTTTGATAAATCAAAAAATACCGCCGCGGTGGCGGAGTTTCATTTTAAAGTCCATCTGTACATCAACAACTGTGATGGCATCATAAGCGTAAGTGCTGTCCTAGTTGAAACCAAAACAACCATAATAGCTTTTACATTTGTAGATTACCAACACCAAAATTTACAAAGGAGTCAAACATAGAAACTCCAACGCTAACGTAGAAGAAGAAGACGTTTCGAACTCGAATGACGAGCTAAAATACAAAGACTTAGAAGAACACGCTCTGAGGTTTGTAATGCTATAAAATTATTTATTTATAAATGAAAAAAACATTAAGATATATCACTAATTACTATAAGCAGGGCAGTATTTTAACTATTATAATTAAACTACCAACTTGAGATGTATAACAGTATGTACACTATTAGGTTTTTTTTTTATTTTGAAACGAAAGGGGTACAATTTTTAAACATTAAATAAAAGCAACTTATTTTTAATAAAATATCATTTTGGAATTTTTAAAAAATTTTTAGGGAAACGTTATTGATAATTTATATTTTTACAACTTAACTTTTAGCTTAACTTCACTATAACTTTTTTAACTTAAATTACGATTTGTATTTATTTAGTTTGTAACTTATTAAATTAGAAAACAACTTAAGTAACACTTGCTGTTATTATAGTAAAGAAATAAAATAATAAAATATTTAATTTCTTTGCTGTATATTATTACTTTGGATTTTCGTGATTTGAGATATGTAGTTTGTTATCAAACAATTCGTTTTTAGTATTTTGCCCACCGGATGAACCTAACCGGCCTTTGTTTACAGTTTTACATATTTATCATTGTGTTAAAGCGATTGGAAAAGAGTTATCAAGTGTTACAAGTTGGTTTTACTAGAGACTTCATTGGCAAGCGTCGAAAACTATTTAGCAAAGTAGGAGAAGCGTTAGGCCAGACCACTTATTTCTGGGTAGTTTTTTTAGTAAGCTCGCGTTGACAAGCTCTATTGATCAGAGCTGAGACTTATGCATAATATAATATAGTAATCGAACGATTGACAAAATGTTATTGCACTGATGACATTTACAGATTTTCTTTCCACGACGGACACATCAGCACGATATGCCCCGAAATAGGAGAACCGGAATGGGCGTTGAATATCAAAAAGGGAGTTCTGTCGGCGTTCCAAAACCGAATGGAAAGATTCGACATTCACCACACCGTGGCAGAGGTAAACCGGGTCCAAGTACACCGAAGTTCTAGTACTAAACTGTCACCTGGTCGTTTTTACATGTTTTTAGAGAGATATCAATGGCTTTTGTCCTACCACCTATTCGTTTCTAAAGTCGAACGGAACGCAAATGATTGTGGACAAAGTGAAAGACATATCGGAGTGCACGGAGAGATATCAGATGCACTCGATAATTCCCACGTCACCTTATGTGTTTCAAAGCGTAAGTGAAAACAATCGATTCGTCAACTAAAGTACAGCGTTCGCACTATCTTAATTGATAGTCATATTATTATTGTTATTGTAGTTTAATTAATATCTACAGGCTATAGCTGCACTAGGTGTAAAACAAAAGCATCGTTCGTTAACATACTTGAGAAGCGCAATAGGTTATACTTAATATACTATCACAATCATTGTAACAGTAATAGTTGTACTGCGTTAATTACTAATAGAATAAATAAAACTATAAGGATTTTATTTTTTATTCGTTATGATTCGCAGTGGGAAATAGGTTATCGAGATTGATTTCGTTACATAATTTCTAACATTTTAATGTGTTGTTTGTTTCTTTTTCACGCATGTAATGAAATTTATGGTAACAGTGCACAACGTTTCTTTAAATTTTCAAGAAAGTCCATTTCCAGAATTTAGGAATTATTCGAACAGTTATCGAATAAAATACCGTATTTGTGTACCAATTAGTACGTTATTCGATTTGTTTTAATTATTATTGCCCAAATATGTCCATTATTAATATTATCGATTTTTTTTTTTGACAAATTGCATTTAAAAACAATCGTATCTTACGGTGAGTAGAACAAATCGAAAACGTTAACAAAATGTAGCCGCGCGATAGCATAGACAAATGGCGAACAAGATCAACCATAGCGGTTTAGCGGTCGAGCCCTGCAGCTAGCTAATGAGACAAATAAAATATGCATTCGTACAAAACGATTTAAATGCATTTTCTCGGACCGTCTGCAACGGCGCATTGAATTAATTTATCGTGTTTTCCATCTAGAAATACCATAAATGGTCGCCGGTGAAATCCGTTTTCGTCTGTTATCATTACATCGATCACCATGTAATCGTGAAGATCGACTGCCAGGAAAAACATTCGTTCCAGCCGTTTGCCAGCAACGAGACTAACAGCGCCAGAACGAAAATATTTCAGACAATGGAGTTGATCAAAGAAGAGTCCACCCTTTACTCGTCTACTCCCGAATGTAAATAAAAAGCACACAATTTAAAAACAGCTTGGAATAGGTTAACAGCCAAAACCAAGCAGTTTTATTTTTAGAAACAAACGAGAGATTTACCCGAACAGATGGTACCACTTGCTCTAAAAAGCGAAACGATCTACAAAATGTTTTTATCATCCATATTATTTTTTATTTTATACACCACATAAAGAACAATTTTACTTTTAATACTCAATTCTAAATGGATACTTTACAATGTTCAGTATAACGTATAGATTGTTCGTAGAGCGCGTATTAATTAAGACGTAAAAACATATTTCGTTTTAACTGGAAGTACGCAAGAGGGGTTTAGTTTTGAAAGCTTACTGAGTATTGTTTGCTAAATACATGAAAATAATCTATTATTTGTTTTTGTAAGTGTACGATATAACTTCAAGACAACCGTTGCTGTTCAATCATATACTTATAATTAATCCGGATTCTGACGATACAGAAAAGACGGCTGGTCTCATCAAAGTTTTATGCAGCATGAGCGAAGTAAATAATAACTAACACACGAACCACATTATTGTAAACACAACTCTAAGACAGACTTATGAATTTTTATCCCGTGTGGTTTTGTTATCCAGGGACAATTTAATCCCGATTTTCCCAGTGAATTCTATCAAGTCATACAGGCCGCAAGAAAATTAACTTACGGAGGTCTAAGCGACCTTTACAAACTCGCACTGAACGGTTTATGCCCATCAGCTATGTAAGTGTCATCACGTTTAGCTTGTTTATCGTTTTAAAATAGAATTATTAATTAGAATTAATTACCTGGTGTAATCAAAATGTTTTTATTTTCAAAGAAAACACCTCCAAAGCGCATTGACATACATACGCACTCCGCCGTCGGTTATTCTTATGAAAGACCTTTTACGAGAAGGATCCGTCAGCGATTCCAAACAGTCTAAAGAATGGTTAATGGCCATAGCCATGTTTGACAGGTGAGTCCATATGCGTATCAACGAAAATCGTCACATCGTTGCCTAAAATAGGACTAAACATTACATTGGCCATAAAACTTTATACTAGAGACTGTAGACGAAATTTAATGCTTTTAACTGTAGACCTGACGCTCAAGTGGTCCGCGAAGTGTCTCAGCTGTTGTATACCACCAACGTGTCGTCTGATACGGTGCTCAGCGTCACTTCTCTGATTCACACTTATTGCAAAAAAAACCGCGGCTGTGATGAAGACGTTAAGCTCATGGAAGACATCTTGTTTATAGAAGAAAAAATCAAGGAAAACGTGAACGTGCACAAAAACAGAAGCGAGGTTAGCGTTTTTTTCTTTGTAAAAGCACTTAGGTTTTACACACTACATGGGTTTAATTGTACTAGGCATTGATCTGGTTGAAATCTTTGGGAAATCTTGGACTGACTTCTGCCACGACCGTTGAAACCCTCAACTCGATCATAGCAAATGACGCCATCGCTTCGGAGATACGAGTGTCTGGCGTTCAGGCGTACAGGTTAGTGGATCTACAGAGTTTAACTAGATTGTATAAATACTGTCTTAGACACTAAAAGCAGTTATGCATTTCAGACGAATCCCATGCAACGTAACGAGGCCGATCATGCTGAAAAATTATCTAAACCAGTCTTTGGATTCTGAAGTACGTATCGCAGCCTACTTGCAAGTGATGAGCTGTCCCGTGTACAGCATCGTAAGGCATATAGTTGCTTCTTTGGATAACGAAAAAGTCAATCAAGGTAACGTAGGATGTTAAAAATACGTCGGTTATATTTGATCTATTTTATTCATATAGTGGATCGTTTGCAATTTTAGTTGGATCGTTCGTTTATACTCATTTACAAAACTTAAAAAAAACTTCAGTGCCGTTTTTCTTGGAACTGCAAACCATGTTGTCCGGTGACATCCAAAAGAAGTTCAAAACCGACATTCGGAAGTTTTCTAGAAACTATGAAACTTCTTTTTTGCTGAGTGAATACGGAGTTGGTAAGAACGCAATCCGTTTTTTGGATCGCTTGTATTTAATTTACAACTACGTTGATTGCTCTATTGTTTTTAGGTGGATCGGTCGACACAAACATTATATTTTCACCCAAGTCTTACTTGCCACGTTCAATTATGTCCAACGTTACGTTAAGTTTGTTCGGCGAATATATTAATTTACTAGAGGTCAGTGCTTTAGAACTAACAAAATAGAAACCATATAACTTTGGTTTCATTGACAGGTAGAAATTTACGGAGAAGGCTTCGAAAATTACGTTGAAGCGTTGTTTAAACCCGGAGGAGTGTTTAGTGCAGAAAAAGTGAGAAAAGGATTGGATCTGTTGCGTATCGTCCGAAGCGTTTTGCCGGAAACCCTCAGGGAAAGAATAAACGCTCTACCCAATATTGTATCCGAGAACATACCTCCACCGAAGGTAGCATTACTTGCTATCCACTTAAGTTGAATTAGAAATATTTTGTATTATGTATACTAATAATATATCCTAATAGCGAACTTGATTTTTAGATATCTTTGGCAATTAAAATGTTCGGCAATGAAATCAAATTCTTGCAACTGAACGGAGTGGACGAAATCAACGAAGCTATCCGATCGTTTGACATATACAACATAATGAAGACCTTCTTAAACGGAAGAGTAAATTTTTCCATCCAAATAATTTTTTGTTCAAAATTAATCTATCAAATTATTTGTCGCCTAGGAATTTAAATACGACCGATCTTCTATGTTTATGGACCTTAAGTACGTTGTCCCCACTGGGGTCGGCATGCCTTTAGCTTTAGACGCCGTCGGCACATCTGACATCAATTTCAACATGTCGAGCTATATCAATTCTGAAATTTTCAAGAGATTCGGTGAACTCAGGTTACAGACCAAGATACATCCTAGGTACGTTTTCATGATATGCCCTAATAATCTATGTGGTTTTGTCCAATTAGTTTTGTTTTTTATTAGACCACCTTCTTGATTAACTAATCCTTTAATTTTGTGCTTTAGTTTAGCATTAAATCTAGAAGGTTCAATGACCATGGACCTACATTACGAAACCACCCAAGCCAAAGTCAAATCTAAATTGTACACATCTACCGCATTCGAAGGAAATGCGGAGATCAAAGGATACAAATTCGTTTCCCTAGTATTCGATTTGCCAAAAACTAGGTCGGATATTATAAGCATAGAGTGAGTCCTAAACTTGACAAACGAACAGAAAATATATTTTATACTCTTATACACTTCAAGAAGGAACCCTCTTCGACTGACTTGTATAATGGGAGTCGTCTATTAGCGTTGCCGCCAAGGTCCCTTCTTTGTAGGTGTGTTACGCATATCACAGTATTGAATTTTCTCTACGTGCTTTTTCAGATCAGAGTTGTACTTGGAAACTCACAAGTTGGAAATAGATTTGCCTAACTTCCAAAAAAATGCAGCAAACGCGTCTGCGCTATCATATAGTTTGCCCATTCTGGAAGAAATGATGGGTTTAAAGTTGTTCACCAACTACAGACTGCCAAACATCACTGAAATGATCAAGTCGCCAATGATCATATTTAATGGTCCCCTCAAGTTCAGCGTTTTCCTTCAAAAATCCGACGTCAGAGTCAAAAAATATGTACTAGAGTATAAATGGCTTACCGGCAAAGTGAGTAGACTTATGATAGGTAATTGCGTTAAAACTGTTATTGAACAACGTGCGTGCAATTTTAGAAAAATTCAACCATAAGCGTTGAGTACCAAACGCCTGGGTCAGAAATCAAACATTACATGAAGGCGCTGATGGAAATTGATTCTCAGACACAAAATTTCTCTCTATTTGTCCTAGGCAAAACCATTAAACTACAGTCTTTAGGTATTTAAAAAGACATTTAAAAAATAATTTATTGAAACAATAAAAACATTTCTACTATTGTACAACAGGTTTATATAGAAATTCTCCCTTACACAAGCAAGTAACATTCACGATGGACATAAACGATGTCAGACATATCGACTTGTTGATGGAACTCAGAATTCAAGACGAGAAATATGGCCGCCTGTACTTACCCAAAGTATACTTGGACATAAATGAAAAAAGAATTGCTGAACTCGACGGTTTGTATAATTTTTCTTTTACTCACAGCTCCTGCTAATATCAAAAAAGATTGTGGTTTAATGACGCATTATGTCTGTATTTTAGGTCAGTATAAATGGGTAGAGAAAAAAGGAATATCACAGTGTGACATCAGTTTAACGTTTAAGACTGCCCGGTTGGATTCCACCATTGCGGGTTACATTAAAATCAATGACGCCTCTACTGCGCTCAATTTGCTTTTCCAGTACACGTTCGATCAGTCGACGAATCCGGAGACCGTTAAATTGGAAGTTAAAATTAGCGAGCGGTCTACCAAAGCATTGACTTCGCTACAAGGAAACATGCAATTGGAGTCGTCGGCATATCCACACATCAATCACGTGACAGCTGTCACATATCAGGTAAGACAATAAGTGGCATAGATCGTAGAAATCACTGTACTATACCATTAACTTTTATTATTATGTTTTTTTTCCGTTATAATATTTAGAAAGCTCAAGGACACACCGAATGTCGTGTCGATTTTGTGAATTACCCATACCTAAAAGACAAAAACAAACAACTTCACATTGAATTTGGTTTTACTGAGATCAAGTATTACTCCGGTAGTAAAATAAGTTTAAACTTGTTCGTCACTAAGCCGTCGGAGAACATTTTGTTTAAATTTATTACGAACCATCAGAGCACGCAAACTACTTCTAATACAGCAATGATCATCCAATACGCGACAGGTATGTACCAATGGTCATATCAAGCTGCATACATAACACGTGTAGAACGCATTCGGTTGTTTGTAGATAAGAACATCACGATAAAACTGGACGTCCTCATGCCTCAAAGTCTTCTGTTGAACATCGACACAAGATTAAGAGTAACCAGGCCGTCATCGAAGCAGCCATTGGACGTTCACGTTGTGGTTAAAGAAAAAGTTATGAATGAGTATGATGTACGTACAAAGACCGACAAGCGTATTGTTTAAATCGTTTGCCAGTTATTTGTACTTTAATTAAAAAAAAAATTTTCTCAGATTGATTTTGCGGGAACATGGTTTACCGGGAAAAACGTCACGGCCAGAGGATTGTACCAAGACCATTCGCTGTACTATCTGACGAGTCACACGTTGAAACTCTTGATACAGTCTCCCATGTTTAATGACATCGTTTTCTTGGGCAAGATATACGTGTCCGACGAAGAGTATCGGTTAGAGTCATGGGTAGGTCATCAAGTCGATTCGATTAGGAAAATAATTTTAACCAACGGGTTTGATTAACAGGTAGACCACAACAACACCAAACATGCCATTCTCCTGAGGCACATAGCTCATTCGGACATGCTGTACGAATCTTTTTGCGAACTGAAATTGAACACTAGCACTTATTCGTTGTCTAATCAGATAGATTTGCAACAACACGAACTGACTTTGGAAATACATTTAGATCAGTACGACCACGTCATTGAACGTTCTTGATGGTTTTTTTCCTAATTCCCTCTTTTCTATTGATTAATGTTTTAGGTACAGAGATATATCGGTTTACGGAAAAGGCTACGCCAACGAGTGGAATTCTCATACAGTGTTCGATGTCAAATGGGACGCTAACCGAGACCCGGATCAGAAGTTTTCGGTGGTATTCAGAACAAACACCAGCGATATCACCGAAGGCGAGCGATTTTACGGTCTCATCGTTATCCAGTACCCTGGCCGTATAGTCAAAACCGACTTGGAATTAAAATACATCGGTACGATAAAAATATGATTCTCACGTTGGAGTTAATTTGCAATCGAATTTAACAATTCATATTATTTTGTACATTGTATATTTATTTTTTAGGACAACACTATTTTTTACTGAGTTCGCTCGAATGGAGTCCTACGTCAAAAATTGATTTTTCTCTTATACTAGAAAATGATTTGCTGTCCAAAGGAAGCGGCTTCATAGGTTGCAAACTGCAAACGCCGTTTGAAAACTGGACGAAAACTATGTATGAACAAAGGTAAAAAGCAAGCAGAGTGATTACTCGCTCAAATTATTTGTTTAATAATATATAATATGTATAGATAAAGAAAATTATTATTTTATTAATTTTATTTTTTGTTATTGAAAAATGTCATACAATTTTCGTTTTAGGGTCATGATAGGTCCACAGAACTTACACACTAACGGCAGTGCCATTTGGCAAGGTACTCAATATCTGAACTTTGACGTACAATCCGGTTACTATACATTAGACGAAGATTTCGGTTTCTCTTTCAACACGGGCGTCAGAAGTTCTCTGCAGGACTTGAACGCCATCAGAGTGTATATCAACCACAACTACGGCACAAACAGTTTCAACACGAGCATCTTACTTCAGGTACTTATAATTGACAGACGATTGGAATAGTTTTAGAAGTGCGCTATATCAAGCTGTCCATTGCAGATAAACCCCAAGTACGTGTTATCGCTGGCGGTTACGGGTAAAATCGTCGTCACCAAAATCGAAACCATTTACAGCGGATCGATAAGCACGTTGACGCCGTTTTTCTACTACAAAACGATCAATTTCGAAACGCAAGTGGGCTTCCAAGAAAAGAAACTCAATGGTGTTCTAGGTTTACAAATAGACAAGAGCAACTTTACAGCTGAGTTTCACGGTAAATATATATATATTTTACTCGGAAGAGGAAGTACATTGGGATTTCGCACAATGAAATTAGACCGATGTTGGTGAGTTGCGGCCCAATCCCTAAATCAAGTACGAGTTGCGGCCCAGGTTTATGAGAGGGACGTATGAGTTGCGGCCCGGGTTTAGGAGAGAGACGTATGAGTTGCGGCCACATAATAATTACCACTTTATATTAGCCTATTAGCGTTACTCAGGAGACACCACGGGGAGGTTGGCTGAGTTATCTCCCAAAAATGTGTTTTTTGGTCAAGTTAAGGTCAAGTTTCGTCATGCTATTTGCCGATGAGCGGTTCCGTCGTTGTCATTTTAGTTATTTTATATTATTGAGTTGACAAAAATTCATCTGTCCTAACTTTGAAACTCTAATAACTTCAAAAGTAACGAGATCACATAATATAAAAACAATGCGAAAATAAAAATTAAAAAATTAATTAAATCCTATAGGCTATAAGAAATTGAGTGGATCTCTTTAAAAAAATCGTCCTGTATAACTAAATTGGCGATAAAAGTTTCAAGATAAAAAAGGTTGTACAGGCCGCAACTCATACGTCCATCGAAAACTGCCGGGCCGCAATTCACCGGTCTCCGACATCGTAAACAACACCTCGGGCCGCAACTCACCTACAGCCAGTTAGACAAACATGTGTACTGCCTACACGGAAAGTTATCGTCCGGATTAATTATATGAGTGCTTGCGATTTCCAAAACTCTCCGGATAGTGCACTAACGTCTAACAATAGCTGTATTAGTTACTGTTCGCTGGTATTCCGGTTTGCAGTACTTTTTGGCTAACGATCATGTTTTCGCTAGTTTAAATACTATAAAATATCATTTTTTTTTCACCTTTATATCATTCACATACATTTTGTTATGTTTTATAATATTCTTAATAACTGTTTTTATAACCACGTCCGAACATCAAAATGCTATTGGTTCTTTTACAGAACATGAGTTTACTTATCCAACACAATTTATTCAGCGAGGGAAAAACGTCGGTCATAATAATTTGTTCATTGATCCTTGAATCATTTATTTATTTTTTAGGCGTATACAGGCCGTTGGACAATAGTAAGATATTGTTGAGGTTGACGACGCCTTACGAAAACTACAGGGTCCTGCACGGTAAGTTGGGTTACAAAGCCAGGGAAAAACACTTGTTTCTCGATGTCTACGGTGAAAATTTCAAGTTGGGCGGTGAAATTCTGTATTACTACAAAAACCTGTCCAACTATAACATCAAACTACGGGTAAACACTCCGGTCGCACCACTCAAACAGTTGGTGATCGCTGGCAAGCTCAATAGCGATCTGGTCAGTAAAATACACACAGCATATTTATACTTTGTTCGTTCAATAATGATAATTCCGTCTTTCTAGGCCGATTACCGTATTGGGTGGAATCACTTTATATTAGGATTTGCCGGCATCTCGCACTACATCAGCTGGTCAGATTTCGAGTACGGGCTACAAATCCACACGCCAGTCGAGAAATTCAACTACAGCAGCGCCACTGTGAAAATCTATATCGTCGACGACATCGACTGCGAAATCCGAGCCGTTTTACCGGACACCTCGATGGTAACCATTATTTTATTTAAGCTCTTACCTTCTACTATAGGTATTCAAACTCATTTATACATTATTAATTCGCCGATGGTCGGCTGTGGCTACCAAAACAAGGTCGTCTAAGTCTTGGTAAATGATTAATTAAAACCATTCGCCGTTAGTATAACTTATACCAATTAAGTAAAGAATTTTCCGTAAATCCATAAACAATTGTTTTTCGTAAAATCTCTCACAAAGTTTTTCAGTATCAAAACTTTATTCTTTTAATTTTATTATAAATAAAAATTAGCAAGTATTCGCAATTAATTATTACAGCTACAATAACGGCAACTAAGATTATTAGTAAAATGTATTTTTTTTAATTATCAAAATTACAAATGAAGCATAATATAATTAGTATAATTAATAAAAGTAATATAATTTAATATATTTATATATTTATTTTGTGTTAGTCTGGAAATAATTTTCTAGCAACAATTACAAAAAAAAGATACATTTATGGGTTCTTTAAAAAAAATATTTTAACTTTTAATTTACTAAAATATGTATTTGTTATAAAATATTTGGTATATATATGGTTATTGTTGCCAGACAGTTATTTTCAGAATAGTACAAAAACAGTCAGGTATGAACTTTACTTTTATATTATTAGCAAAGTATATTATAAAAGAAACCTAAAGAGGTTAATAAGGGGAAAAATAAATGCGTGTGGTACAAGTCGATTGCGCAGAAGCCTATCGGCACACGACCAAGTATCTTGACGTGTTGTCATTTTGCTTCAATGACGGGAATATTTAAAAAAAAGACTGTTTGTGACATTGGACTACAATGTTTCGTTAAGTATATTTCCCCTTCGTTAGCTTGATTAAACTCTAGGCAAATAAATGTGATTGACATTTGAAAATTGTTCACAGAACACTCGGTTTGTTAATTATTTTCTAAAATAAATCAGTTCTGAACTAAAATATTGAATTTGAAATGTCAAAAAGACCAACTTTAATGATGGTGGAAAGTCAGAACGTTCTTATTGTCTATTTTCTGTACACCTGAGCTATTTAATAATCTATGTTTCTATATCCATAATACCTAGTTTATAATGATAATAAATGTCTTGTACCATTATCTGCAGATCGGCGTCAAGCTTGTTTACGAGACGATTCCCAAACAAGAAGAGATAGATGAATATTACTACGACGAGGATGCGGAAATGGCCATGGTTTTATACAACGGTCTGCTTGAAATCGACACAGCGTTTTATCCGTCCGTAGTGGCTAATTACAAGGTGTCCCAAAACGGTATCATGTACACAACAGAAGTCGGGCTGTCGGCGATTATCATAAAAGTGGCACTGATCGACGAACTCTACTTGAAAGTAGGTTAACCAATCATAATTAAAACAAATCCACTATCCGTGGCAAAACATTTTATTAAAAAACTGTCTTACCCGTTTTTTATACTTTTTAATGACTTTTACTACTTGAAAATACAAAAGGCGATAAAAAATACATACTCAAACATACTTACTCTCATTTTATAGAACTTCTTGGACATAAAAAATGAACTGCATGTCACGACGTCTTACCAGCGATTTTCAAAGGTATTTTCGGAATTTTCCGTGTACGCTGAAAACGGAAACCATATCGTCTCCAACTCCATCGTGTCCATAGTCAATTTTAATAAGACGCTGAAGGTAATTTTAATTTTGATTTTATTTTTAATCAAAATATAGTAACCACTATTAGGGTAGAATAACCTATTGACGATTCATGATTAACTTCTTTAACCAAATTATGCTTTACTGATTTTACCGATTTACACTTCTATCATAAATTTGTGAAACTCCTAATCTTCCAATACCCCTTGTTTTCTAATCTGGGTTTTTCTTTTCAAAAGACTACGTTAGACATAGACTTCTTGGCAACGCCACTTCCAGATCCAGTAACGGAAGAGTCAGATGATCCAGATGCGCAAAGCAATATGCCTTCTGGTAAATACGAAACCCAGTTCTATTTGACTTCGCCGTTCAAACTCTTAGAGTTTTGCAATTCGAGCATTACCGTGAAAATACAGAAACAGTTTTACGAAACAAACATCACAGTAAAAACCAATTACACAAACTTGCACGTCGTGGGCAACATGGAGGTACGAAAGTCTCATTATTACACATATCGATACATCGTATCGTTATGATTTTTTATCCAATGTGCTTTACAGGTTTATGAAGGGTACTTTGACACCGAAGTGGACGTGGACGTCGTTTCTAAGCTTTTTGAACTGCCGGTGTTCCAAGTACGCATCAAGAAAGACTACACCGAAATCGAGAAGAAAGTTGAATTCTTGATCAGTCGTCCTAATAAATTACACGTGAGTACTGACCGCAGTAATGATGACGTTGTACTAGTGCTATATTTTTTTACCCTCGATTCAGAAATGTAATTTGTTGCAATGACCCAATGGTCATTTTTAACTATGTGTTTGTAGTAATGAACTACCAATTTCCGTTAAGTAAGCAAGCACATGTGTTCACAAGCCCTCTCCGTTTAGTGGGTTATCGGACAAAGTCACTTGTAGTCTTGACCGATGACCGTAGGCGTCGTAGCCACTGTCCCACACAGGTCCTAAAGTGTCATACTATAATTAATTTTGTTCGATTTTAGAATAACGAAATCGTGTTTGACATCAAGAGCTCGTGGCAGATAGACGGATACAATTTTATTAAGTTAAACGGTGAGATTACCACTCCATTCGCCGTGCTCAGTCACGTCCAAGGTAGTTTGCAGTACTTCCACCAGAACCACACTAAGACGTATTTCCTGGAGTCGTACTTGAATTACTCACGAAAAGCTGAGATGAAGGCCAGGGCTCATCTCAAGGAGCAGTCAGTCACTCTGAACCTAGAATCCTCTCTTGAAGGCTTAAGGTAAACACGATTGAATCAAAACGAGTATCAATGTGAAACATTAAGCAAGAACTCTATCTTTACTGTATAGGAATGTGCATTTCACTGGCTCGTTGATCGCTAAAGACGGGCGAAAAGCAATCGATGCGATTATGATCGGCGACCAAACTTACAGGATCAGCGGATGGGCGTCTGCAAACATGACGTGCCCATTAGCTGTAAGTAATAACTTGAAATATGTAAATAATTATTAGCTAACTCTTGTTTTTTTTAATATCTTACTTAGCTAGAGGCGCATTTGACCAAAGAAAATAACGCCGTCGGAAGTATTGTGATGGAAGTCAGGCATAATTCTGACGGCTACAAGATATTAGCCATGTTGCAGTCGATCAAAAAGATAATACGTCTAAATACTCTGATAGTTTCAACGGATAAAGGGAAAATGACAACAGTAGAGGTATATTTTACAACATATATGTTACAACTTTTCTAGAAAATCTTGCTAAAAATGATTGAACCGTTATCAATTTCAGATAGCTTCATTGCAAGAAACTTCTCAAGCAATGTTCGTAAAAAGTTCTTTGATATTCAAAAGACCTGGTGTATACGTGGTAAACGTTCAAGGCGAATCGATCATCGACGGTATATCCACGTTGTTGTTGGGAAACGTTAAGTTATGGTATTAGATAATTTAGATAAAAGACGATGCCTTAGAAACTAATACTATTTATTTTGTACATGTCGTTAGGTTCATCGGCGATAGAGGAGTGATCAGAAGCTCCATGGACTCGAGGTATTTACAAGGTCACGTCAACATTGACTGGGTGCTGTCGTCTCCTCAGCACATTTGGGGTGTGGTCGACATCGAGTATGCACTAAACCGAGTAACTTTCCAAAAAATTTTCTCGAAAATGTACTTTATCGCGCCCGAAAACAGTATAAGTCAAATCACTTTTGGTGCCAGAGTGGTGGCAAACAACAAATGGACGTAAGCCTTAGTGTTTACTTTATGCCAAGGAGAACCTTAAACCTAATTGTTTTTCCAAATAGGTTTCAAGCCAACTCAACTGCCATGATACCATCGTTGCGAAACATATCTTTTGCTACGAATTTGATATTGCCTCAAAACGTCACCAACAAATACGTCATCGTTGGAAACCTCAGAATAGAAGATCAATTTGAATACATTTCGCATCTGTTCCGTTACCGGGCACCGGACGTCAACTACGAGTTCGCTACATTCAGTGAGGTTAGGATACATGCGGTGTAATATTACTAAGCACTTAATGACAGCAATAAACAAATCGTCATTACCCCTCAAACTTAATCTACTTGCCACAGTCGAAATGTTAAATCTGGTAGTTGTTGTTTATGGCATAAATAAATTCAGTATTTACACCACTTGAAGTCATCCCCATGGGTTTTGCAAGACAATTGGCTAAACTACCAATACTCGAAAACTTTACGAATTTCCTCTTTAGGGCGGTTTGTAGTACGCTATTGTCAGTCACTAAATGTCTGAACATTTCAAAAACTTTATTCATAAGGGATGGGTTCCGGTTATTGAATAGAATAGGTAATGAAATACAAATGTGAATCAAGTTTAAAAGGGTTTGATCTTCGATAAGTCCTCAACGCTTTTTCGTGTGTGATTTATGTTTACTATGGACATTTGTTTTTTTTTCAGGTGCATTGGGATAAAAAAGTTAACGGGTTAGTTTCTTGGGCGTACAGGACCGAAAACCGAGTGTTCCTAATCGACACATTCAACGGTGTCACCATGGATAAGTTCTACGATGTGGAAAATGTGTTCGACGCTAGTTTTCTCAAACACCGACACGTGTCGAATTTGCTTTACGAGAGGCCTACTAAACCACATAAAATCAAGTGAGTAAATAAAATACTCATCAAATATTGTCTAACAAATTATTTTTTTGTCGTACTCGAGGACAACTTTGTACATCAGTTAGTCACCGCTATTTAAGGTTCCTACTAACAGTTGGTCACAAAAATGTTTAGTAATAAAATATTATTGTTTTAATTTTGATCAAATAAAGTATAAAAACAAAGATAAAATAAAACCTGTCGGAAAATGACTTATAATGTTAAACATAATAGTCATGATTCTTCTTTATTTTCTACTATCCTATACAAAAAGAGTCGAAATAATGATAATTTTGTAAAGTAGAAAGAACCTAATGGAATTTGTTAAAAAAAAAATTCAATGTAACTACAAAATTATCCAAATTTGAGGCAGCTTTGAACTTAAAGCGTTCGATGTACCAACCTTTGGCGGTTTTTTTTATTAACACCTTGTTTTAGATAAAATCGCTATTTCGAAAGCAAAAGCAGTCATAAGGTTTAATTTTAATCCAGTCTAACTTTTAAATATATTATAATAAGTAATAAAAATTAAAAAATGGCATTCAAATTGTCCATGCATTCGGTACGGATTGATTAATCTTATTCAAGTGGAAACTCTCGTGCGGGTGGGAACCTTTTAGGTCTACTATCACAGCGACGCTTATTCGTAAACTTTGTTGTGGATAATAATTAAACCGCACAAACGATGAATAGTTAATTTAAAAGCGCTGACTTAATGCCTTCAATGTTTAAAGTTGAGACTAAACAACAACCAATTTCGTCGAACAACTTTGACGGTTAAATTATACACGCAAGCAGTATATATTTCATTAAACTTTGCTAGTAATTTAATGAAACGCTGGACCGTTGTTCACGCTTTTTTGTGTTTTTTCATTGTCACTTTTTTTTAGTTTTTTAATCAAGTTTTAATTAAAGTTTAACTAATGTATTCGAGGATTTTCTCGAACGTCAGTGGTTCGTTTATGGGTTTATTATATATGCAATTGGACGTTGCGGGTGGAATCGAGAAAACCGCGACTCGAGTTTGGGAGTTTCCAGTTCAAGTATATTATAATAAATATACAGTACCGATTCGTGGAAACCTTATTTCCTACGGGAATCCCAATTGGGCGGGTAAAATCAAAACCTCAAAATAGCATGCATTTATGCATGAGTTCGGGAGAATCGTTTATTGTTCAAATAAGTATAATAATCAACTCGTGTTTTTCCATCGACTTCTGGCGCTATCCAACTAAATATAACATGCTCTGTATGACTATTTTTACCCCAACATACACGAGGGTTTTCCATTTGTGTTGTTTCATGCTCGTTGCGGTTATTTATAATATGAATTTCAAAAATAATTCACACTTTCGAATAAACCGAATAGCTATAAGTGTGACTCAAGTTGTGCGTATTATTATATTAGTACAGCTGTATGTCCTCTCGAGACCTCTTTGGCTGTTGTTAAGTGGCAAGAAAATAAATTCAAACACTTCAACAGAGCTCGATAATTTGTTTTATATTTTTTCCGGAGAAAATAGAATTATTCGGATAAAGTTATTGACACCGTAATTATAATCACGGTCGTTCCACACTAATTGTATGCGCGTTTTAATATGTATTTTTAAAAAAACTTTTTTTGAAAGCTATAAATAACAATCTTATCCTACTAAAAAATATGAAAAAAAAAAAAATATATATATATATATATATACCTTTAATTTTAATACAATAACGTCAAAGTTTAGGAAAATCGTATACCCGTGTATACTTAATAAACAAACCCTTATTTATAAATATGACGTCCTCATCATTTTTATTTTTCAACTTTTTGATGTTTCCACTCAGGCTTTTATTTGTACAGTTATGTTTCAACATTTTCAGTTTCACTTTCGCTTTATTAAATCACCTAGAAATTGTTTAATCAAAATTAATTTAAATACCACATACAACTTTTGAAAAGAGATATGAAAAAGGGTTTTGATACTTTTTCTTCAAATCCATCTAAAATCGTTTAGAATTAAAATTAAAACTAACATATCATTTTCGCCATCATTAGTTTTTCACTAGTTAATCATGTGTGAGACAAAAAGTGACCTCTTGTGGTAAAAATAAAATTTTGAGTTATTGGTTATTCCAAATTCTGCACTAAATTCTGAACATTTTAGGACCAAAATCGTTCTCGTATCTTGAAAATTAGCCGAGTTATATTTGTTATGTTTGAACTCATTTTTGGAAAATGGATTTTTTGGATAAAACCACTTTAAAGTTTTGATATGTTGCTAACCTTTTATTTTACATAATCTAGGAATGAAACTTAAATTAAAATTAAAATTAAATGCAGATAACATATTTTTTTGTAAGGTATTTATGTAAATATGTTTCCAACCCTGATCGGAGTTTTGGTCTCTCCTGCGATTTGGATTCTCGCAACAAGAGGCCCCTTTTTCCTTTCCGCCTCACATATAGTGAAATTCGATCCACAAAGGATATAAAGTATAAACTACCTATGCATGAATTCCGTATATTATTTAAAAGGGATCAGTGACCCGTTCAGTCTAATTTGTATCTGAAATTAAAATGCGTTATTTAAATTACGTTAAGGTATTAAAATACCTTGGGACCACATGAGAATGAGATCAGATAAAATAAAACGCTTACATTTTTAGCCTTATAACTAAAAAGAGAATAATAAACATATTATATTTTGTGTAAGAAATAAGCTGTCAATTTGATTGATATACATAATTTTTAACAATCCAAAATTATTTAAAATGTTATTTTTTATAAACCCTCTAATATAATTTTAACAGCAATATTCGTATTAACTAAATGTAATTTTTAATTAACACATTTCTGCTTTAAGCTACTATACAGACATTTTTTTTTATAACATATTATAACTTATTACTCAAAAGTATTTGGTTGATTGAGAAGTATTTCTTCAATTGTTGGGGTACCTACTGAAAACGTGTGTTGTTTATTAAATGAACTTTCGACCAATATTACTGGTAAAACTTCATTTTTAGCTAATTTAGTGTCCAATAATAATTAAAAAATCATAATCAATTGGAATACTTTCTATTGTAGTTTAATTTTATGCAGGCTTAGATACAAAAGTACAAAATTTTGACATTTGGAACCCAACTCGTTTGTCTTTTTTTTCGAGAGTTGACTTTTTTTTTTAAATAATATGTTTAATTTTCAAATTTATGATATGACTTTTACGCAAAACTTTTACTTTGAGTTTTTTTAATTGTTTTTTACAATAACCTTTTTCTACTAGAAAAGTTTATTCAAAAGTAAATGGGAAAAGTTTGCATTAAAAATATTTTAACGGCTGTGACTGAACCGCTTTAGATGGTCGTCATTTATTATTATTATTTTATTAATTTTTGCCTTCAGCATAGTTTAACCGACAAATTCATTCGTTTTATGTATTTAATAAGCGATTTATATAATTTGTTTTTCTTCCGCAATAGGCTGAACGTATTCTATCCTGCCGAAGTCAAGATCACATCGGCCATCGTGGACTTTGAATCGTTCGACAATTTCATATCTTTCATCAACACGACCACGCCGTTTGTCACGATACCTTACTTCGCTCTGCGTATAATTGCCGAAACACTACCGTAAGTATTCACGCCCCAGTGTGGGGCGAGGTACATTGACAAACATCTTAAGTATTGATCCGAAGGTCCTTGGTGGTTCCCTCGACCCCACCCATCACCACCGTACCACAACCAATATCAGTTGTTTGTTTTTAACATGGATATGTTAAATGTGTAATTTTATCGCATGCATTTACATTGAATTGCTCATCGCACAGGTTAAACTATCATCGTCACATCGAAGTGTTTTGGCCGCACAACAGCGCCTTGTTAAACGCCACCAACGCGAAAACCCAAAAGACCAAAAGCACAATGAACGTCGGCGAAATTCTGTTACAGTTTCCCATCGACAAGAAACATCACATCGGTCGGTTCGAATTTAAATATGAAGTAAGTCCCGAATAGTTTTGGATCGCATTGACAATCAAAATTTAAGACTAACCAAGCTTATTATTATTATTTTTTTTTTACTTAATATTTACATGGGTAGCGCATAATTTTCTAACGATGATAATGTAAGCTATTGAATATGCGAAATGTAATTTATATCTCAGTGCCTAGTAACATGGTCGAACATGGTTTAACACTTAAAGTATAATTTTGTTTATGATAGAGTACGCTAAACTTAAAATACGCTAAGTTTCTCGGAAACGTGCACCATTCGAAACATGTTATACATAGTTGAACAACTTCATTGTAAGAGTTGAAAACAAAATATTTAGAATTTATCCTTACTATGTTAATGTATAATATATACTAATAAACACATTATAGTTTAATGTCAAGTTTTATTCAAAGAAAATCCGCAATATACTATCTTTTTACAAAAAAGTAAATTTGATACTTTTATGGAGACATCGTACAATTTTTTTTTTTATTTGTACTTGAGGCATGTCAGTGAAAATTGTGGCCTTATTTTTTTGGTAAACGTTTCAAAAAAAACTCAAAAAGTATAATATTTTACACAAGATAAACAAAAATCTACTAAAAATTTGCAAAGGAGGAAACGGTAATCTCAATGCGTAACTAAGCTAACCTAACATCTACGGAAATATTTTCTTATAGATACTGCTATAAAAATTCATTATTTTCTCGAGCTCGCCGTTAACCAAATACCACCCGTTTCATTTAATATATAAACGCCGTCGATTGTCGTTAAACCTTAAAGTTAAACCTTACAGTTGAAATAACTTCCTACATTATTGTTTGGCCGCAGGATTTAATCAAGGAAATCGTCGGCGACTCGAGAGTGGTGTACGACCAAAAGAAAATAATCGAAGGAAACTTTACTAGAAAGTTCACCAATCACGACGACGGATTTTTGGACGACTTTATAGATTTGACCGTTCAAAACAAAATTATACCCTTAGGCGTCAAGTACTTGCACCGGGTGAACAACGGTAGTCACGTTGGCGACGTCGAACTACCTAGAGTGGTAATATACTTGGTTTTCTTTTTACTATTATTACTATTTATATGAACGCCATAATAATACTCTGAAATGGCCGAAAAAACAATACCTATAGAAAAATGCTTCGTACCACGCAAACAGTTAATACAAATAACAAACGTGCTGTTCATTTAATACTACTTTTCCTTTAGGGGATAAACATAAATATCGCAGACCTGAGACTCAGATTAGCTGTAAAGGGACGACTGGTAAAAGTGGTTAGAACCTTTTGGCTGATCACCATAATATTTTTTTAAGTTTAACACAGTTTATACAACAAAATAAAAAAATTAAAAAGGTCATCTATTCAAATGTTTTACAGGGTTTAGCAATAATATGTCAGAATTAAAAAAATATCTAAAAAGTTATTATGAAGATTTTATATTATTTTTTAAACGTTTTAAAAGTATTTGAGCTACTATAATTCTATTATGGAAAAGTATAGCTTTACAACAAATTCCTTAAGTACTTGGTTTTTTTTTTTTTTAATTGATTTATTGATTGATCGTTTACATACATATACTGATACTTATTAATATAATGATACTTATTAGGTACATAGGTAACAGGCTAATTTCAAACCAATGTATTTTTTAATGGGTTTTTCTACATTTTTAAAATAGAAGAGGTGAGCTTGTACAGCATTGTTTGTGAGCAATTTTTTTTTTTAATAAATCAAAACTACATAACCGGGTGGCGTCACAGCGTATACTATTTGCTGTTACGTCGATTTGATTTTCAATCGCACACACGCACTACACAATGCGCACTATACTACAATCTTTTCAAATAGAATTGAGTCTCTTTGAACCCGAATGAACTCCAAAGTGTGCAAAGACATTCTCAATTTTTGTACGCTTACGGGGAGATGGGCCGTAATGTGCGATTCGATGGAAAAAAAAACATAATATGTACATTATTTTGATAGTGACGTGTTCACACCGTGTGTTTTCAGGATTTCAAAAGGATGGAAGTGTTCAAATTGCACAACGAGAGCGAATTCAACGTGACGGGTGAAATGATGCAAAACAAATACGAAATCGCCAGGGACACGACGGTGAAAGGTAGAAAAAAAAGTTTTTTGTGTTAACATACCGATAGCGTCCCGAGTGTATGATGTTTTTTTACATAATAATATTATGGAGAAGATATGCTTTGTTTTCCAATTTATTATATCGATTGCATATTATGTTGACGTGAACGACGCCGGACGTTCCCTCGTCTGACGACCTGGGGAAAAAAAATGATGCATAATTTATTAATATATTGTTTAGGCGCTGCCAGACACGAACGAACGGGTTTAATAAACCCAGCGCCCGGCAATAGGGCAAGAAGGAGGGTTGCTAAGCTCAGAGAAAGCCGTAACACTGCTTTTAATTGTTTTTACCGGAAACTCGGAAAGGAAATTGTTTTTTTTTATACTAATATTTAAAAATTAGCTGCCGAAAACGCGTTTGGTCGACGGAAAAAGATCCGCTTTTACCTACTCGTAATAATAACACACACAGGTTCCGGTACTTGTATAAAACGTCTTTTTATTGCAACGTTTAAGGGAAAATGTTAAAAAAAAAAAAAATTTTATTCGCTTCGATATTTGAAATTTTACTCGCAAAATAATATTTTTTTGAAAAAATCATATAACGTTGTTTCCATATAAAATGATTTATGTCATTCGAAAGGGTTTTTACATTTTTTTATTTAGTCACGGTTTGACTTTTACTATTCAAATCTTTCTTTTAAACATTTAGTTGATACTTCTTTCGATAAAATTACTTTGATATAAAAATAATTGTGTAAAGGATGTAAACCACTATTAACTTCTTCATTATTTTTTACTTTACGCAGCCTTGACTTTATAAAATTGCCAAAGGCATCATTAGAAGTAAAAGAGGATAGAGGAACTGAATAATATAATTGACAATGGTCGTTATAATTTTTATAGGGAAATCTACCTATAGCTGGTGGAAAATAAAGAGACTGAAATTCAGGAAAATATTTAAAAAAATTGTTTTTTTCGTGTGAATTTTTAATGAAAAATTGGAACACAAATTTCCGTGGTCTGATAACTAATTGGTCATTGGTCATTCTTATCATTTTTTCCCTTTCCATATATACTTCTATTTTTCTTTGTGATTAAATTTTATGTAAAGTTTTATACCTATTTTTGGAATGGGTGTGCCTCTCGAACCCCCCTCGCCAAACAGACACAACCGGTTTTAGATAAAATAATAATCAGTACACTGTATAATGAAATATTTAAAATATATAATAATGATTTCGTTTTCGGGAGTCTTAATTTTAATTAAATACTTTAAACAGTATAAAAGTTATAATTGGACAAAATCTGTAACCCAACCGGCTGGTATTAAGGTCACTGGCGGGTTTAAACGGCATCCATGGAAAAGGCGAATTTCCAAAAACATAAATTAGATACTTAACGAGGGCGGAATAATTTTCTTTGTTGTATTTGTTTTTTACATTAAGTTTGATTTAACAATCAAACTTACGAACCTAATGCTAAAGTAAATTTTATATTTTATTTTCAGGTCAGATTTAACCCAACCAAAATATTTTCTGTTTTCCACTTTTTTGAACTCTTTTACTCATTGAGAATCTGACATCTATTGTTACTTAATGTATAGCCTTTCAAACAAAAAATCTTTTTATTTTTTTGCCCTTTATCAGTGGGGTCGACCACCTGAGGTTTAGGCAATTTTCTTGTGCTTTTCTTACATTTCTTTATCTGACACTATTCTTTTTTATAATCCGCACAACTCATTGTCTTCTTTTATAACGTCCAATCACTGACTTGTTTGTTGAATTGAATTTGTGTAAACATAATGCAGTTGAAAAATATTTAAAAACACTTAGCCTGTATAGGTATTTGTCAAATTGTTTTACAAGAGAAAAAACAATGTATAATATTTATTCAAGCATCCGAGGGAGGAAATAAAAGCAGGTATTCAATATTACCGTCAAACACCGTTTTTTTTTTGTAAGCCTGTCTTACATATACTTAATAATTTTCGAAAAAAAGGTATTGACAGCATGTACAAAAAATATACTAAAAATAACCTACTTATAAATATTAATAAAATGAAAACGAATAATATTTTCACGTTTTGCATACTTTCCAAGAAAAACTATTACCGCCGTTTTCCTCTTGGTACATTTATGAAAAACAAAATTATTTCTACATCTTAAGTAAATCCTACGTACTGCGTCAGAGAAAAAGGTGATTTTTTTTATACTTGCTATACAATAACTGTGCGCTTACATCCCTTCCGTGAGTTTAGCTTTATAAAGAAAAATATTACTACTACCGAAAATAAAACCTCAACAAATATAAGATAAACCTTAGAGAAAATACTATTATTTATATTTTACAGCTGCAATATTCTTATACACCAACAGTCGAATGGCATTAAACAAATTAGATTTTCCGCCTATGCTTTATCGTTACACAATAAGGCATTTTCTTAAAATGAACTCTCTACAACTGGCGTTATCTTAGATAACAGCTTTGTATAAAAATAAATATAAATAAAGCCCGGAGTTTTAATTAAAAAGTCAAGTTAAAATTAAGATTCACTTTCGAGTAGAGTTTTATTTCGTTTTTAATCTAGAAAATGTCTGAGATGTTTCTTCAGGAAATTATGAATATATTGTCACTTGAGATTATGCTTTAATTTATTTCGTTTTTATTTTTTAATTTGCAAAAACGTGAGTACCTACTTGTTATGCGCCAGTGATAAATGATACTCTCAGCTCATAAAATAACAATTAAACAGGGATTGAATCGAAACGAACTTTTGAATATTTTATCAATTCGACGAGAAAAAAAATAATAACTGAAATTATTTTTTTGGGTTCCTCAAATAGAATAAGCGAGGCGAGTCGATCATTCTTGGCTTCTTTTCGACATAATTATTTTTAATTATACTGCGATACTATAAAGAGTATAATATTTTTTTTTTTTTAGAGAAAAAAAATGAAAATTTAATCAAGAAACCCGTCGGTTTTTTTAATAACTCCTAGTCTGGTATAAATTATTATAATAATTGTATGGTCACCAAAGAGGATAATCATTGGCCAAGCAACAAACCAATTTAATTAAATAAATATTAAATACGAAAAGACTGATGGAAATTAATAAGTTTATCGCATTATTTTTCTTCTCGTGTTTTATAAAATGTAGTTTTTCCAGCTGAGAAAAAAATCAAACGATAATAATACCTAACGTACACGTTACAAATGCCTAATACATTTATTTATAAGATCATATTCCTAAGTTCTTAAATTAATTTAAAGGGCTAAAAAATATGCCCTTTCATGTTTAACGCGTTACTTATTATCGGATTGTTGTAATCTATTCGTTTAGGTCAAAAAATATATTATTTAAATGTTTTGATTTAAGCACTTCATTTAACGTTAATTTATTATTTTTTCCCGGAGCGAAACATTTAGGCTCGTGGTCGTCAAATCTGTATCTTTCTATGAGTCGGTGGTATTCATTTTTTTGAATCCTTTCCTCTCCTATTTCTACCAAAAAGTGCATGTTCTTTTATAGCTGTTGTGACCTACTCCTCGTTATCCTTCCAACCGTTGTATTGTCACAATCGTTATCACTTTCATTAGAATTTCCGTTAGTTTGCCACACATTACCGCCGATCTACTCTAATCTCGTGCTCTTAATGAATAATTAAGCTACATTATTTTCTTTGTTTGGTGTTTTTACAGTTTGCCGTTGTATCATATTTCCATCCTCTGTTCGATATAATTGAATAACGGTTCGGTTATTCTTCTAAGTGATTTCTTTTGAATATACTTATCTATTCTTTGTCGCCAAATATCAGTGGACTATGTGACGGGCGCACACGTTAACGCCGATTTTATATGGCTTACGAATATTACTTCCTTACTTTTAGCATGGAACATGCTTTAGCCTTGGACCCCCAGCCTGAAACACTTAATTACGATACTAAAGTAGCGCGCCTACTTTAAATGTATAATAACATATAATATGCCAAATATTTAGCCAGAACATATAATTAAGACAATACTATCATCATAAATCGCAAGTAGATTATAGATCAGAAATAATCACTATTCAGTAGCCAGCAGGCTAAAGCATGTTCCATGTTTTATCATTTTAGCCGTTAGGCTTTAAGTAGACTGTAACTTTTTTAATATTAGACTCACGTTTTGGGTCTTTGCTTTTTGAGAAATAGTTTACACAAAGTTTTTACTTTTTTGTTTCCACAAAGAAAAAGCTGCGGTTGCTTGTAAAATATTTTTTTTCTAATCTCGAGGTAGAATAGGAAGATCACAAAATGTGTTCTTATTGAAAATTTAACATTTTGACATTCTGTCTGTGTATCGTGTATCGTTTGTACATATTCCGTGTCTGCCGATAACGCCTATGCAGATTAAAGAACATGTTTTTATTACCATATTTAAAGAAATGTTGGTTATGAATAAATAACGGGATTTAAAATATATTAAAAATCGTTTTTGCATAGTGCATTTACATGTAAATTGAAAAAAGTGGAAATCTTAAGATTCTCAAGACATCAGTGATTTTATAAAAACCTTTATTTTAAGAAAGACAAAATTATTCAAATCGCTTAAAATTAAACTCTTTACTGTGGTTCTACACTTAAAACTCTATTAAACATGATTTACTAGTCATACATTTTCTCCTAATTGCATTTTACCCCAAAATTGTTGAATGTTGTTAATCCTTTGCGGTTCGAAGCCGTTTGTTTGTTGGTCGTTTATTATTTTAACTTTAAAAAGTGTCTGGAAGACTCTGGGGACTCTCTTCGTTTTATTAAACCCGTACTGTAGAGCCTGTACTGGCCTTGCGTTTGACATGAATGTTTGATGATTTTCAGTGATAAATTTCAACAGAAGCGTGGTGATCAATTCGCATTACGACGACGATACGGACGATTCGTACACCAGGAACGTCAAAGTAATCCTAAACCCAGAAGCTTGGATGCATTCGGCTCTGAAAGTGGCCTATCACAACTCGGTGAGCTCTTCTGACATTTGTAGATAAACCAAGTATTCGGGTTGTTCTTGTCCTAGGAAGGTGGCGTGAAAAAAAATGTAAATCTCCTTAAACGCCTCAAACTATGAATAATAAATAAACAAAGTAAATTATTTAAAAACAATTTTTAAATAAAATGGTGTTTAAAAAAATGAATCACCCGAAAAAATTGAAAACTGTATGTAACAAACAAATTTCATGTACAAATTTATAAAAGTATATATCATTTTAGATTTATTTATTAAAACCCAATCCACAAAAATGATACACTTAAAGCTTCGCCGACCAGCACTGAAGATGACAACATAGTTGTTGAAATACGTATATGCATAAAGTATATCATTTTTGTGGATGGGGTTTTAATAAATAAATATAATATTTTCCACAAAGTTACTCTGTTTTTATTTTTATATAATTTTAGAATTTTAAAAACATAATAACACATTTTTTAAAAAAAAGTTTGAGCTTACAGTGTAAACAAACATTCATTCATACTTTAATAAACCAAAAAAATACCATAACACATTAAGACACTAAAATATATGCCCAAGATTTCAGTCAAACTAAATATGGTTCAAGGAAATTTTATATATCAACAACATTCGTTATTATGCTATTTTTAAGACTATGTTAAGTGTACAGGTTTGATATTTTATAAACAAATTAAATAAGGATATGATTAAGTAATATTTATATTTTTTTTAATAATTCTTTGGTGATCTAAAGAACTGTTATTTTTTTTTTTCTACAAAAATGATATTTTTATAAATATATATTTATTGTTATTTAGAAAGTTTGGGAAATGGATTTTTAAGGAATTTATGGACATAACATTCAAAGTCCTAAGTAGTTAATGTTTTTACTTTAGGTTTTTTGATAAAGCGCCTACTGAACATTTACTGTTTTCTATATAAACTCTTAATGTGATGTTTGGTCGACTAGTTAAAAATGGCTAATATTTAACTGTACTTAAGCTGTAAATCGTTTTGCAGACCCCCACCGAATACGGTAAACTCATCGATGTTAACATTGCGTATCCTAGAAGGAACTTTTCTGTGATCAGCGACGTGGAAACCGACGCCAAGTACTTCATGTCTAAGATGACGTTTGTGCAACAAAAACCGTGGCCTGACGAACCTTACGTGTTCGGCTACCGTTTCGATTGGCACAAACTCGAATCCAAAGTTGACAGACACCGAGTGGTTATGCTGCTTAACCATCCTTCGTTTGAAAAGGTAATAAGACATGCTAAATGTATAAAATAAACGACTAAGGTATACAAACCATTTGATACGTATAGCCGTGTTCTAGACAACTCTTAAGGCCCTAAAGTTTGCTTATTTCAATGCTTACTATAGTTGTCTTATTTGAAACCAAAAAAACGCTAATTATACGTCCGAACAAAAACGATTATTAACTAAGATTTGTATTGATTAAGGTGATGAAAACCTCAAAAAAATATTTTCTCAATATCCACTAGCGCATATATTACAAATTCTCTACAATTTTTAAAGAAGATATTGAAAATAACGAATAAACATTACCCCTTAGGTATTTTACTAAAATAACTTGTATACTTTCGATTCAAATCATTGCAATTATTGTTTAATAACATTTTTAACAAACCTTTTATCTAGCTGTAAATAACTTAATGTAAATACAAACATTTCCAATGGCCTACAATGTTTATATGTTTAAAACTAAAAAAATTAACTTTAGGTAAAAATAATATTATCTTAATTACAAATTTTTATTTATTTAATACAAAGTAGGGCATTATGATCACTAGCAATGGGCCTTGTTATTTAGGAATTATTGTTATTCAAACGTTAGATTCATTTGTATTGAACTTGAAATTTAATTTGATGATTATGCAACTATGTTAATAGTCAATAATATTAGCTATCAAACTGTCACATTTTTTTTAAAAAATGCTAAAATTATGAGTTTGTCAGTTTTGTTGTAAAGGGTGTAATTCATTTTGATAATCGCAGAAGAACCCATTCCAAGAAAAAACATATCGCATGTGTACATCATTTGTAGACTCTTGTCATGTGCACAATATTGCACGCGCCTGACCTTTTTTCGTCCTGTATTCAAACCGTTCTCTTTTACTTGACTTGAATATTTTTTTCTATTATTATTATTATAATTCTGAGGACCAAAGCAGTCGCGTGAACAGTTATTAACTGAACGCACGACCCGACCAGGTCTCAATAGACACGAGCAAGCAAAGTGTTTGGTAATTTTTAACTCTCACCGACGTAACCCCTCGACCCTTTTGTATACTGATACAAAAAAAAAAAAATAGTCCTAAACAAAAAACTAGCGCGCTACTCCGTGAAATTATTATATTTGGACAGTTTTACATTATTCAGAGCGATTATACACAGTATAAACAAATATCACACGTTATAGCTGGTGTCACGGCTAATTATCGACAATTTCACTATCCAAAAAAACATCGGTTATTTTTTACTATACACTATTTCCAAAAGACTAACGAAGACCCTTCGTAAGTGCACAATGGTAAATATGCCGTTTAAATTAAACTGCCTAATCTTGTTATTGAAAAAAGGTCGAATACAATAAGGTTAAAATCGATTGTCCAACTGCATCGCACGATAATTCCTCTCTGAATGATAATAACAAATCATAAGCAAAAAGCAATCCTAAAAAAAAAAAAATACAAGAGCTATCAAATCAGCTTGGAAAAACTAAAAAAAAAAACTGGGTTCAAAGAATAAAAATATGCATTAATTTAAAAATCTTATCTTCATATATTTAAACAGCAAGAATACATTTAACTCTTCTTAAAAAAACGCGAACGTTAAATATTTGACTAACAAAATATATATTTTCATATCGTAGTTTTTAAGTCAAATAATACAAGTATTAGACTTGATGGCTGACAAAACAATGTAAATAACAATATTAAAAATTAAACAATTTCGTATTATTGTTTTTTAATAATAACATAATATCTCCCTCGCTCAGAGAAAAATAATATACAAGTCAAAGACAAACAGAAAATCATTATTTAAAAAAAGAAATAAATAACAACGATTTTTTTTATTTTAAGTATTCCAATTTGTACAAAATACGTTTTCTAAGTCTGGTAATATGCTTTTGTAATCAATTTTGTCTTTAAAATACAAGTAGTTTGCGGGACAATAAAAGTATTTTGATTTCGATTTTAAATCTGCATTATCGCACATATTGTAGCTTTTCAAACAGATGCGCATATTTTTGTTTTTAAAAATCGTTCAAATGAGTCTCACCCTCATATTCAGATGAATTCACAATATTATGTACGGCTTTCTCGCTGCGGTCTGCTACGTCTTGGATTATAGTATTATTGCTTTCTGGCAGCCTAAGCAAATAATTATGTTGTAAAGGTATCGGAAAACACTGGAATAACGAATTTGTATTATATTTTGCAGGATGTAACAATAAGAGGAAATTATTCGCGTGGCAACACAGTACTGTTTGATTTGAACGCAGACTACGATTACGCGACAGATCCTTCCAGGAAGTTCACAATCGGTTGCTTGGTCGAAAACCATTCCCAAAAATCCAAACGCAATTATTACTACTCGCTCAAGAGCAGACATTTGACCACCCGGTAAATATTTGAAAGAGAGAAAAAAATAAAATGGGATATTAATGCCAAACTTAATAGACGACTATTAATCACAAATTTTAAATAATCTTAACTGAGTATTTAACCACGGAAAACGGACTTCCTATAAATAAATACACCCAGAAATAATAACCCTAAAGTACCATAGAGAACCTTAAATTATTATTATTAACTAATCAATTATATTAGGCGGTACGCCTTAATAGTAGACTTTGTTATTTCTTATTATTAACACTTACGTTTTTAGTTCACTGTATTGTTAAAAAGTCGTAGAATAGAACATTAACCGTGTAAGAATGAGTTATCCCATTCATTTTGCATATCAAGTAAGATAAAGTAAGTAAATATTCACGACGTAGCAGGTCTTTTGTAATTGGAAACTTACAATATTTTGTTTATTCGTGAAAACCTTTTTACTACATTATTTTTCTGAGAACTTTTTTTTTCGGGGCATTATGTTTATGGCTATACTTATTTAGGAGAACATGTTTATCCGGGGATCAAAATCATAGGGATTATTATTTAGATCACTAGCGAATACACATGATTGAAACTTAAACTAACGTACTTTCTTTTCTCACAGGTTTAAGCTAGACGCTTCCGGTACCTTTAAGTCGCAAGAGTTCTTCCATTTCTTCCACAACAACATCACTTACAAACGGTCGTACTTGCCGGATCAATACTGGGACGGCAAAGGCGTTCTTGATTTCGTCAACAAAACGATAAAAATCGAGGTAAAATGTTGTTAGCAAAATTTTAGCAGAAATAACGTTAGTTTTATAAAAAAAATTAATTTATAGAAATTTTCGTTTCGGGATATGACCATCGTCCACGGCAACTACAGCAACAACAATGGCACGCATTACGTCAACGGTCTGTTGAGTAAAGGAAACGACGACACAACAGTAGGGAAGTTCTACATAAACATACCCCACAAGGACACCGGACTTGTCGTTAACTTCACTCCTGGTAACATAATGACTAAACAATATCGTCGACCCTCCTCGTTTTGTCTCTCAAAACTTCTGTGAACATTACTTTATCCATTACACTAATCTCTCAAACCCGTTTTATTATTTCTTCATTGTCACGTCCAAATCATGTCAATCTATTCCATTTCAAATTTTCTCTGCCATTAACGCATTTCTTAAATATCAGCATCTTTCATTTCACTCTTTGCACTTCGCCACAGCTTTTCTCCTTCCTATGTTCTATTCACCCAATTCTCTGGCATACATGATCTCACACGTTGTATACTGTTACACAGATGCTTCCGAGCAATTGCACATGTCCGGCAACGTTTTGGAAAGCAAAAACGTCCAGTTCAACATATGGAGGACCAAGTATGGGCTCATCATACCAGACGTTCAGTTTTCATTAGGATTAAACCACTCCAGGCTATTGTCTTCGGCACTCACGTGGAGGACCGACCTAAAGAGCAGCCTGGTGGTAAGTAGTACGCTCTTAACCTAAACCGTAATGGAACCGAGGTTTACTGATTTTAAGTATGTTAAAGAGTACATTGCGAACGTCGGTCAACCGGACTTGGACTTATGTACAAGACGCGACTGAATTTTGGACACAATATTTCAAATCTGAAACGTTCGAAACGGCCAACGGTATTTGGTTGGACACCAAACCGGAAATCCAAGAATTCATCAACGACATAAGGTATGAATATTGTAGTGTATATGACGGGGGGGGGGGCAGGAGTTATATGCATCGAATGTCCAAATTATCAATTCTCAGCGATTATGAATTGATTTATTCAATTACCTGTTTAATTTTAAGATTAATTAAAATAAAAATAGCTAATTATTACTCATGGTTCAGTGATTATGCTATTATTATCAAAGTACATTTTATCCAAATCTCTTTACAGATCTACATTAGAAAAACTAATCTATTAGTTTAAATAGGTATTCCAATTACAAAATTAAAATTAAAATTATTTTTCAGTGGTACAATTGTATTAGTAATGTCGTTTGTGTATTAAATCATGATTTAATTGTTTTGTTCTACGTAGCAATTTCCATGCTCTGGAGGAAGACATGGCGTATTTCCGGAAAGTGTTTAATAATTCATACAACGCTAACGACTTCTACTTGAAAGACCTCCATGGGCTGTACGTCGCGATGACGGAAGATATGTCGTTCATGTAAGTATGTCGATAACATTTTGTATTGTTCGTGTGAATAGCACCAAATGGTAAACGGAGTCAACGGCCAAATCGTTGGTCAAATGCATTATCCTCGGACTGACTGAATAAATGTACCATAAAGATGATGTTACTAGTAATATATTATATTGTGTCTGTGTGATTTATACAGGGACAAAATGGGATCGTTACCGCAGACCGTTAACGAAATATGGACAGCTCTAGGAGACACGGGACAGACTATTAGAAAATCTATCGTGTGGTTCATCGATAACGTGAGACCATAATTATTACAATTCTGATTAATATTATCATTACATTTCTAAAGACTTTATGCCACTATCTCGACATGTCGAACGATTTTTATTTTATCAATTAATATGGTTTTGTATGTCCACAGATCAAATTGGCATATGAAGAGTTTGGCAAGTTGTTAAAGCGGCTGATGGAGGGCGAAGCTTTGGTGTACATGTCTGAGTTTTTGAGTAGTTCTATGATCAAATATGATAAGGTAAAAACTCAAAACGTGTTTATTTCCTTAAGCATATATATATTTATATAATATATATATATATGTCAGAGTTTATATCTCAGTACGACCATCAGTTTGAATTCAGTTTCGTTATTAAGGGATAAAAATCGCATTGAAAATATTTTTTATGGTTTAATTTAAATGACTGAGTGGATTAAGTCTTAATACTTAGGATTAAATGAAGACCTTGAAATAAACGTTTCGTATATTCGATAAATATAGATTACTACCCGAGACATTTCCAGGAATAAACTCTTTAAGGAAGTTATATAATTATTTTATAACGTTCAAGTGATTTACTTATATCTTGACAGGTTCTAATCTAACAAGATACAATAAAATTCGTTTAACAAATTACGATTTTTTTAAGACCCTTTTCTCTTTTTCATTTTCTTCGACTCGTTTGTCGCCATTTCAGTCCTCAGGCGCATTACAAAGTGCAAAACTAATAAGTTTTTGTATAATACTTACACATGTTATTTGACGATTTAACTTAATAGAAAAACATGTGTATTATACGATAAAAATATCAAGGAAATTATAAATGTAGTATTGCACGTTGTATTATGGTAAGTATTAGATAAAAAAATATTCTTTAAATTCAATTTGGGACCGAAAGTGTTAATACACTCCACGCAGCTCCGCGTTTTTAGTTCTAAATTTTGTATTATCTATTAATAGAATTTATATTAATTGTATTTATAACCGTATGACAGTTGATTAGAGACGTGCACATATCGTTTATACGGTACGTAGAGAGCATGTTGGAAGAATCATCCAACACCGTGGCTGCCTATTGGAGTAACGTGTTAAAAACCATAGAACCGACGGTTGTGCAAATTTTCCATCACATCGAATCCGTGTTCGTGTCGGCCACTCAGCAAGTCATCCGTAAGTTTCAATTGAAAATCATAACGCCATGTAAATCATACGAGACAAGCCTGGTCATGCATACACTCTATAACGTTGTATTCGCAGAGTTTTTATATGCCAGACAACAAGAACTGATGCAATCGCCTTACTACGCTCAGACGCAAAACATGACTCAGGACTTGGACAGATTCTACAAAGACCTGATGCACAACGACTTCTTCACCAACTTGAAAAAGTACTCGACCATGTTGTTCAACGTGTTCAAAGCCAGATATTACCCGCTGATACCTTTCGGTAAGCTACAGCAGTCTAATCGACAAAACCCCGTGTCCCAAAGCTCTAATACTTGACACTTCCAAATTTAACAAATCCGTGTACCGCTCAAGTGTTTCAAAATCATCTAGTCTCTCTGGTGTATTAAAAAGCGTGATAAAACATAACACAAATTTAACGCTAGTTTAGGTATATTCGCCACAGCTGGTGTCATTTGATCATGCGCTGTAATTAATTTTATAGTCCCTAATAACAACGGGAGTACTATTGGATTAACTAGGATTCCTGTTTAGACGAACTCGAAGACATTTCTAAAGTTTATTCTTGAGAAATTTGTCAACCCTGTATAGGAATCCTAAGAGATATCGCTAAGATTCCCGGTGTTACTAGGGATAAGATATTTTGTGCCCATGCACTTAACTTGACCTACCAATGGACATTCAACTTTCGGCAATTAGGCAACTATAGCAAACGCAATGTCGTATCAGAGTACTATTAGGTAAATAATTATTATGCGTAACCACGCATCATCATCATTAGCGTTATTATTCTTGAAGTGATTTTAGTTTTTACTTTAACTCCGTGCCATTTAGAATGTCCGAGGTTAGTGAAGATGTAAAGAAAATATATGAAAACCTATATGGCAACTGCTAAAGCAATTGAAAGAGGTTTAGACAAACTACGTTACATTTTCTTCTTGCGTTTTACAGAAAGCCTTAAAAGAATATGTTTGGATGGGTTAATGCCTTATTGGATTTGAGTGTACAAAACATGCTTTGCTCGAACTGTGTTAGCATAGAAACGTGTAAAAAATAAATAATACTTTGGTCAATGTGGTATTAGTTGCAAACGCGAAAATTGTAAAAAAAAACGAAAGCCGTATTTTCTAGAACAGAACCTCGTTAGTCGTTACGTTTGCAAAACGAATACTAAACAAACAATTTTTAGTTATTCTAAAAAAATAAAAAGATCCTATCCGGACAACAGTAATTATAGTTGTACACACACAACGGCGTGGGTCGGTCCGGTCAATGTGAATTTCGCGTCATCGAAAAACAAATTTAAATAACAACCGCGTTTCACTGTGTTCATATATTATTATAATAAGTAAAGCATGTCTGCAAACAACACAGATAAGGTATAATAAACTGAATCAATGAATAAAATACAGTAAATTATCTACAAACAACAGCAAACTAATTATAATAATAATATAGTATTGTGCCTTTTTGAAAAATGGAATCAAATCTCTTTGGTGATCCCCAGAGGTCATTTTCGTTTTGATTCTGATTTTTTTTTGTGAACAATAAAAATGTATTTTTATTATATAATCTTTTCTAATTAGATAATAATAATTTATAATACATTTCTGTAATCGTTTTAAATAAATACAAATACCAACTCTCGGTCAGATATGATGAAAATCCTATTGCGCCAGCGAGTTAAGTTTCGACGTTTAATGATATAAAAAAAACCAACATCTACCTGCTTAAGTTAATCATTATATTATGAATTTCAGGCGTTTTTAATTTTTGTGGCTGAATACATTAAATAATAATTAAAACGCTCACTCAGACATGTGTAGTTAAAACGAATACAGAATATAATATCTAGTATATTATGGCCGAAGTCATGTCATTGAAAAATATGTTGTTTTTCATCACTAAACCAGTTGAACGGGTCTAACCCAAAACTGCCGACCGTAATAACGTCTTTGATTTATTTCAATTTTTCAAAATGTATGGATTAAAGTTTAGATTCTAGCATGGCGAATTTTACCATTATCTGTATAAATAATACTGATTAATGTTCCAACGCACATGACGTTATCGTGGAATCATCTTTGCTCTTAAATGTTAGGTGCATGTTTTTTTTAACATGTTTTTAATAGTTAGTAATTCGATAGAACGAACTAATAACATACTTTCGCAGTAACCGGAATGACCTAGATGCATAAAAAAAGAATCCCCAAAAAAAATCACACATCAACTCCAATTAAATATTATTTAAGCTCATACAAGTGTAGATCGAAAAAAAAAATAATAAAAAGAACCCGCTACAATTAGGTATATCTATTTAAAAATTTAAAAATTATGATTTTATGACTATATTATTAACATTTAAGTTTAACCTTCTCAAATTTAACGTTCGCCTTGACTCTAATGACTGATGTTTTGCTAATATTGTTATTTTTCGTTTAATTCTTAGAATGACTTTTCGACATTATTTTATGATGTCATATTTACTTTGATGCAATTATGTACTGTGTACATCTAAAAAACTTGCTCGTTATCTCCATAGAGTTTTTTTACCAATACTCTTATAATTTTAGTTAGAATTTCTGTATAAAAGGTAAATATTGGTTTATTTTAATAACACCTTACATCAACACCTTCATACTACTTACAGTAAAGTAACGATAAAATGAGTAAAATAGCCATGAAGTTTTTAATGATAAAACCGGATTTTGAAGTCAATGATTTTTATAATAATTGTGACACAGATTACAAAGTGTCTATGTATGGATTTTATGTCGAGAGAACTTAATTAATAGTAAACAATAATATATTTAAGTAGCATTTTTTGTCTTTTCAAAATTAGTGAGACATTGAAAAATTAAATAATGTAAGTCACAAAGGTCAGCCTAACAAAGTCAAATAGCGTATGGTTAAGTGAATGGATTTTTATTTCAACCTTTACTGGTGACATCGACAGATGGTATAAAAGCAATGCCATAGTAGAGCATAAATATTTCATATTTAGGTTTGAAAAGATCTCAGGTGGGCGCATCGATATCATCAACTCACCCTCTTGACCTCTTTTGAAAGAGACACACACAAGAGACTTTCATTAGCACAGTAATGAGATCCTACACTTAACCCGTGGGGAACATTTTAATTAATTTTAATTTTTCCTTTAGATGCATGCAAATTAAAAAACGTATTTAAAATTAGTTTTTACGCCTATAACTGAATAAAAATTAAACTGTATTTGTTATTTCACTTATTATTTTAATATATTACCGTTTTTTCTCTATGTGATAAAAAATACAGAATTTCAAACACAGAATACTTTTGTACTTGAAATACTGTCTTCTTTGCTAGTACGCCGACCTATGTCGGGCATCGATACCGAGTATGCAGACCTAACCTAACCGACGTGCAAGTTAGAAACAAGGTGTTGTAATAATTATTGGTGTGTGGTTTTTTTTTTTTAATAGCAAACGAAATAAACGCTCTCAGATTGGAAATCGTGGACGGCGTTCAACAATTACTGAAACTGCCGTTAATATCATACGTGATGGACAATGTGAAAACAACGTACAACCAGGTATAATCATAGACCAGAAATGTTGCCCCCTCCCTTATTGTTGCTTTTGACTTGAGCTTCGTTTGTTTCTTCTTATCGTAATCTTGAACAGGCCGTGTGGTTTTGCGACTACATCGATCTCGGTCACAAATTACAGAAATTCATTCCCACGCTGATCAATCGAGTGTACGACCTGACATATACCGCGGTCGACAACGAAATGAAGTAAGATCGTTTTACAGTTTAACATTACTATAGTAGTCTGAGTATTACAAATATTGTGTTACGCAACATACTCTTGTAACAAGTATCTACGTTCTACCTGAAACATCCTCCCCAACGTTTGTTAGAATAGTATCATTTACTTGGTTTTTTTTTATTATTCCCAATTTTCGAATACCATCCGCCGACCCGTTTCGATAAGTCGCGTTTGCAGTTTAGCTAAAAAAAGTTGTATTCCATTTGAAATACATTAAGTTTATCCCTAAAAAAATCCTATACGAACCGTTAGATCCGATTGAAACACATTATTCCACTGTAAGCATAATCAATGAACTCTTACTAAGCAAGATAAGGTTAACGTGGTCGATGGTAGTACTAAGCACCGAATCGAATAATTAATGATATTAAAAAAAACATCTCACGCGTGATATAACCTACCTGAATTGTTGTAGATATCACAAGCCTAAAACAAAGTTCATATGCGACCCGGAAAAAGGTATTTTAGAGTTGGAACAAAAATTGCCTTTCTCGTGGCACGCGTTTAACGAGACGCCCAAATATGAGGTAAACTTTCGCTTTGTTTCCCAGTTTTTTGTTAAATTATAATAACGATTTTTTAACGTCTGTGATTTACAGGAAATACCCGAGTACAAAGTGGCCACGAAAATGCTGAGCATGTTCGCTCCGTCTAACGTCACGTTCTGGTTCCTTTACTACAACCTGATGCCCTTTACGGACTACACGAATTTACTTCCGCCGTTCCGAGGTGACACCGACGTCTTATTTATTATTAGTATCATAATATCATATCATATTCACAGTCGTCAGCCCAATAGCTAACATAGAATATTATATCAGCGATCCTTAGACAAGAAAAGTATGCTCAGAGGCAAAAGCCGAATAAAAACATATTTGTTTAAACTTTTTAAATCTACTTGAGTATTTTGGACTTCTTTTAAAAATACTCTTTATGATTTTTTTATAAAAAAAAAATGTTTTAAATGTTTAGAATACTTCTGAAGTCTTAGAACAGAATATAATTTGCGATGAGTCCTTATCAAGTCCCTATTTGTATCACTGAAAGTTATCATCATCTTATGTTTTATCATGCATCATTCGTACTGCTGTATATCATCTGATTTAACACTAGGTATTTCTACTTATCAATCATCGTTTTTATTACTACGTTTCCCTTGACAGCTAATTTCCTCTTATTTGAAGTGATGAGACCCAAAAGGGTTTTTTCTAGAACAATTGGGTTTTAAAATTCCTTTTCCTAAGGTTTTTACCCAACTCTGTGTATAATATTTCAAACACATTTCGAATAATCCGATCGATAGGTTTTATTATTTTGAACTTTTATCCCCGTGACACAGGTTTGATATATATTTTTTTTGAACACCAATTAATTAAAGATAATTATTATTTGCAAATATTTGTCCACTTTATGGCTGGGATAGCAAAATCGATTACGTGTAGCTACCTAATCTTCCGCTACGGCTTCGTTGGTTATATTAATGTGATATAACATGATTGATTATAGCCGGTGTGTTTGTGTGTGGGATATTAATTAATACATAAGAGAAATCCTGCCACAGTGGTATCGCGAAAACACACGTACTGGCTTTCGAATTTCCTCGAATCGGAAAATTACCGGAAGCCCTGTGACGTTCAAACTAGAGATTACACAACAACGCTATTATTATATTATAATATACTGTACTGTGTTTAATCAAAGGGCTTCCAGACAAAGTTATCTACAGCCTCGACGTCACAAACGAACAGAAATCTCTGTAGTTTTCATAGAATTTGGACTGAATAAAAGCCAGTATAATATTATAAATCAACCGTAAGAGAAGCCCCGGCAAGGTGTAAGCCAACTATATAATATACAATTACAGTGAAATATGGTGGTTTATATTATAATATACTGCAACGAAGTTCTGTTTTATTAACTGTAAAAACTTTTAAAATTACTCTCAGGCCCATTTGGACGTCGTAGTTTCGATGTTCAAGTATAAATAATTATCGAATTTATCTTACTGCGGTAGAACTAATAAATTGTTATGTTTTGTTTTTATATACACAATTAAAGCTTAAACACGTACTTAAAATTGTTGAAGAGCCTGGAGATAGTTTCACATTGTTAACTACCTATATTATTTTATATTTTTAAATATAATAAAACGATCTAACTTTAAAATGCTTTAGATGGTCTAACTTAATCAATGTTCAAAAGCCTTTGCTAAAGTATCCTAGATTCTATTTTTTAAATATTAACCCTTAAAATTTAACAATAATTTTAAATAATTAATAATAATAGAAACATCGAATTTTGCCCCAATAGGAAGGGAAATATTTTCAAAGGATTTCAGCTATAGAAGGTAAAATTTAATAAGACCAGTTCTGATACAAGTATTTCACAGAAATTTTGTCTTGACCTGACCATAAATATCCCAAGACATATTTTCCTCGACTCTTTACCCCGTTAGCAGACTGATTGCTGAATGATTTTGGCAGTTACTGATAGCCCAACAACTTCTGAGCTTTTCATTAAAGCTAAAATCGCCTACTCATCGAAAACGTTTATCCTTTGCAGCGCACGCCATGATAGTGGGATCGCAACATTTTGTGACGTTCGACCAAAGACACTACGATTTCAAAGGTCACTGCTCGTATCTGCTGGCAAACGATTTCATAGGTCACGAATTCTCGCTGGTGCTTAGCTACGAGCCCGAAATCAAAGGTCATTACACCGTTTTGCTGATGCTCGGTACCGAAACGGTCTCCATAGATCTACTACGCAAGGTAAGCCCAAGGTTTTGTTCGTTGAGTTTAATAGGATATCGGCACGATTATAGCTGTTATTATAGCGACCGCAATGTAAATATCTATCCGTGTTTGTAGGACGTGAGAGTACTGCCCAACAGCATTAAACAACTGCCGTTACAGCTGAACGACACGGTTATCTATTACGAAAACGAAATGCTCATAGTGGACAGCGAGAAAGGCCTATCTCTTTCGTGCAACATGAATTTCCATTACTGCACGTTCCACGTATCAGGTAACACTCTCGGCGAGACGATAACACTGTAGACGTTTGTGATGTGATAAATGATAAGATATCAGAGAGAAGTGATAAGAGGTAAAGGATAAGAGATATGTAACAAGAGATAACATATCCAAGATTCAATGCTCCTCGTTGAGCGGAGAAAATAAGTAGATTCTTTTTCCACGAATCTTACCATTCTTAACACTATCTAATTTTATCTGTTGCTGAAATTGTATCCTTATTGATCGTTCATTCATATAACATTATAATATATTTGCACTTCAGGATGGTATTTCGGAAAAACAGCCGGACTGTTGGGTACTTTGAACAACGAGCCCAGCGACGACATGTTGACCTCGGGCGGTTACTTAGAACCGGAGTTGTTCAAGTTTACCGAGAGTTGGGCGCTGAATGAAGAAAGTTGTAGCTCGTTTTCGGCAAACCCGCGAAAACCTTCGGCTAACCCGCAAATAGTGGACTTGTGCGACAGTTACTTCAAACATAAGACTTCGCCGCTGTTCACGTGCTTCTCTATGGTAAGCAAAAGCTTTACAACAATGGTAGTAATAATATATTACGTATTATCGTGTATGGAGAGAGAATACGGAAGCCAATGACCATCGGACGTGACGAATGATATTATGCGTTCAAAATGATAGATCATGACTGTCGATATCGATGCTATGGTAAATTTATAGTAAACGAGTGGCTTAAGTATAGAGGTGATCCAAACTGGTATTAGGACGTGACAGCCGAATGATGATTTTTAATGGATTTAATTCATTCCGTGAAATACGACAAAGCCACATCGGTCGGATTAGTAATCTATCGTTCATACATAATATTACCATAATGGATTTTAGTGTAGGATGAAAAAAGTTGAGGAAAATCTTGAATTGGCTAAAAAATATCGTTTCGGCGACTAAAACTCGGTTTCAAACTCATAAAATAATAAATGCTGTATTTTAATTCTCCTTAGAAAACCGCCAAGCCTCTTATTAGTTTAATCTTATCATTTTTGCTTTTGCTCCGGGCCTGTGCTCGTGTTTGACGCCAACGGGATATTTCAATCAGATAAAACTGCATTCTAATTTTTTTTTTCGATTTGTAAACCCCACAGATAAATCCGAATCCGTACTACGACTTGTGCTTGAAAAACACCAACAGGAACGAGACGTGCACGCCGGCGATGGCTTACAGCGAAGCGTGTTCCATAGAAAATCTACCGGTCCGGCCTCCCACCAGCTGTATAAAGTATGTGTTTGCCTTATAAACGTCTTTGGAAGATGATGAAGCTGACGATGATTTTTTTATTATTTTTTTTTTGTTTTGTCACAGATGTGCGGTAACCAATCATACGGAGATCACCGAGGGCGATTTCTTGCGATTCAACGGCAGCCACGTACCATCGTCGGCCGACATCGTGTTCATCGTCGAGGCCAAGGAGTGCAACAAGAATTTTACCGAAAAGCAAAACGTGACCACGCTGCTGACGATGATCATCAAAGAACTGCACGACATCGGCATGACCAACAACAAGTGAGCGGGTTGAAAATCGCTCACCTACTTATGTTATGATACCACAAGTCCGGCGGCACGACCGGGTTTTTTTTTTCATCCAGACGAGATATGGTCGTATGGTAATAACTGGTTCTGACTTACAGGTTTGCGGCCGTCTTCTTCGGGGGCAGCGGCATCTTCGACGAACCCCACAGCGTTGTCATCAACGGTCAAGTATTCGCCAATCCCATTGTGTTCCAGCAATACCTCAGCAACATACCGTTCGGTAATTATTAAACCATCAGTAATATCACACCCGACGGGCATCAGTGCATTTTCGAACCATACTCTGTGATTTCACTTGCAATATAGCTGCGCCGTTTGTTTTAACACGGATGAATCGCAATACGCTTCTTTTTAACAGGTAATGGTAACTCTGACATGTTCAACGCCATCAGATTCGCGTCCAAGCTGCGTTTCAGGACCGGACACTCGATCATATTCATATTGTTCCCGTGCAGTGACTGTGACCCGTCCGACATGATGGTACTTATTATATTATTATTATGTTAATGTCAAAGACCTATTAACTCATAGAAAACGCTGCCAGATCTTCCAAATCGAAAATCTAGAACCAAAACACGAGAAGTGCAAAAAGGCATAGACTTTATAGACCTTAAACAAAAATAGTGCCAATACTCACAAAATTTGTTTAAAAAACTGCTTTTGAGTGAAATATTAAAATTTGCCGAAAAGGTACAAATTTCAATATTTTTGTTCCAGAGAGCTAAAATATGATGAGTGTCCATTATATACTTACTCTGTTAGGTTAAGTAGACATGGTCTAGTGTGAGATTTTATTCTAAATCACACCTGTCTTCTCTTACTCTCATTCTACATGGAATCTATGAGTTCTATGAGGATCGATAAACTCTATGGGTTTACATATGAGTTATGTTTATACTATACGATGTTGTGGCTCTTTTACAGCTGGACTATTCGGTTATCAACCACATAGTGACGGAGAAGAGTATAAAGTTGCACGTGCTGATGGACAAACCGTTCGTGGTGGAAAAATCTAGAGCTGGAAACACATTAATAGGTCAGTGTTTTTATGTAATGTAGTTAATGCTATTCCACGTTGTTCGCTATGCGTTTATGTACCGGAGGTAGGTATAATGTGTGCACTGCTGGGGTCAAACCGTTGTGATGTAGACTGTATTATAGAGTCATTGTCTCCGCCGAGTGTATAGATGACCATATTTTAGCATATTATGCAGTTAATCTATATGGAAAACAATTCATCGTTGAAAATCATTTCTACCGCAAAGACAAGGAGGTATGATATATGGGCGCGTTTTCCTCGGTTCGTTTATATTAATACGATAACGTATGGACCCGGAATTCAACTGTTTCAATGTACCTACTGTTTTTGACATATTATTATACAATATAATATAGTCTGTCGACCGTATTATGCACGTTTATACGATAAGTGGTTGGCAAATAAAAACAAAATGCTCGCGTAAAACGTCTAGTGTAACATTACTGCCGTTGCGCAACTTGCCCATCGCCGAAGCTGGTGTAATAGTTAACGGTCGATTTCCAACCAATTACCAATCGGTGTATTATGCGTACAACGCTATACGCTCTTCATCATAAATCGCAACAATAATATAATATTATGGCCATTGTAATGAACGCAATCGATATTATTATTATATACACAGAGGATCGTTTGACGCCTTAATGACATCAATATACAATAGAGCTAATGGCTTCTTAGGCTGGCTGCCGGCAGCGCATTAGGTACTCAATAAGTTCTCGAGTCACGCGTTAATGTAACTAGTAATTACCATAATATTGTAATGAATATTTAACATTTGAAAAAGAGGCAAAATTATGCAAACGCCCAAGTACAATGTTAAGATGTTGTTGAAAAAGGGATAAAACTCTATCGAGTTTAATCAGCTAATTTCATGTCAGCTTCTGTCTCGAGTTAAGTCAGCTGAAAGTTTCAATTAAAATTGTACGTGTACAGCGTACCTCGATTTAATGGCATTTCATATAATTTAACATTTCAGCAAGTTAATGTAAATCATTAAGATGTCTAGTCTTGATGGCTGGCAACGTAAACACCTACAACAAATTTTCATTTTATGCCGGTCATGATGAGCATGATGTGCATTATACACATCCGTTGACTGCGCATTAAACTCTTAGTAATATCTATTCTCATTTTCGCCTTACACGCAATCTTCTTGTTTACTTGAATAGTTGTTTTATTTGTACTTTGGTACACACATTTCGACTTCAATATTTACACTACACATCAGCCGTTAATGTAACAATTACCAAATAACAAGTCCTCAGTAATGTGATGAATTAAAATAAATATTAACCAGACCTTACCCTGTACTATTATGTAATACTGTAATATGAAAAAAAAAATTCGCTACTATTACTACTATGTACTATAATTACTGCTAAAGTTCAGGTTACTCAAGTTATACAACTTTCTTATTAAAGAAACGTATACTTCAATTCCTTTTTTTTAGTTGATAATAACATTGAATATATTATAAGAACATAAAGGCCGATACATTTGTTTATCATTATCTTGTTCTTCTCCTTCGCCTTCATCCCAACTATTTGGGGACAGCCACCCTTGTCCTAAACCTCTACTCGACACGATCTTTTACATCACCTTCGCATACACATATTATTCTCAATCGCATCCAGTAACCTTTTTTGGGTTTCCTGTATTATAAATTAAATTATATAATTTAAAATCAAGAAGAAAGTCCTAAAAAATGTTATATTTTTCAATTTAAAAAACGGCACGCTGTTATAACGTTCCCAAAATTGATTTAAAAATACAGTAAAAACCAATAAACATTAAAAAACCTATTTTCCGTTTTTTAACTCTACAGGAACCAATATTTATGGATATTTATATTTTAACATGTATGCGTCGAGGCATTTTTTTAAAAATTGTTTTTTCATCAATTCCAGTCATAGTAATAATTATTCCTACAAGCCTAGACCGAGCCCGAGTAAAAATATTTGTTTAGACAACTATTTAAAATCGTCAATTACTGGAAAATAATTTATTCAATCACCAGTTACAAATTACTTCAGTAATTCAAGAAGCATATGATTCGATAGTAGTGGATAATTCAAAGTCACGCCTTTACCGCAATAACAGTTATTTTTAGAGGGCAAAAACAAACGTTTATGGTCTTATGTCGAGTGTTATTATTCAAGTAGTCGGTGCGGACTATGGACGTTTTTTATGTGCAATATCGTGTGAGCGAAAAATTCAAACGTTTTGGTCTATCCCGCATTAAATAATTGAAATCGGCGAAAAAATATCAAGCCAATGACAGACATATAATTATCACTCGGTATATAGGCACACCGGGTAAATAGTATTGCGTTGGTCCCTATTGCCCGTGTGTATAATAATAATACATAAACCGTACGGTTCGGGCAATGTAGGTGGAGGCAGGAGCTGGTTAACCCACGAAGGAGACTTGCGTAAACGGACAATTTGAAAAATTGTACAACGCTCTCGTATTGTGTGTACACATAACGTGTATATTTTCAACCACTCGCGTTAGATAACATCAGAAAAAAAAAAATAATATATATATATATATATATATTATATTTCGTACACACAAACACTAATAATATAATATCTTCTAATGTATAGAAAGGATTAGGTAATAAGAATAATAACGCGAGGAGTAGAAATACGGTCGAGCCGGTGCAAAGACCTCGGTCGGCCAAGTGAATGCGACGAAACCTTTGTACAGTTTCTTCTTCTCTTTTCACTTTTAAAACTCTAATGTAAATCAAATGACGCCACGGTAGGCGGAATAGGTCGTAGACGATGCCCGTATGCTAAACAAAATATTATTATATGTTTTTTTTTTGTTCTATTGAAACACGACTGTTAAAATATATACTGTAGTAGCTACTATAGGACACAGTTTTGAAAGTGTGTTTATAAAAAAAAAAATTTTAATTTTCTCCAATCATGTTTACCAGGTTTGGACGCGGAAACGGCCTACACGAGAAACGACTTCAAGATGCTCAAAGGCGACGTCGGCCTGAGAAAACAAGTGAAACTCACCAAAAACATGCTGGGATACTGCACACCAATAGTACTGGAGTCTAACGGTGGGTATATTGCACAGCTATAATTATAATCGAAAACGTGCCTTACAAAGGTATATTTTGGAAAAATTCCAAAAAATAAAAACCTTATAACCGTAAAACGCATTAATCAATAAAATTTAATAACACCATTGTATCAAAACAAAATGGCGAAACAATAGCCAATACAATAAAACACAAACAAAAAAAAACTAATTAAAATATAAAAGCTCAAAGGATATTTTTTCAGTGATCCTTTGACGTTTGTGTACAAACATAAAGCTGAACTAAATAGATATACAACAGCGACGAATTTTAATGAAAAAACGATACAGACCGACAAAAAACAAAATATATAATTAAAGTTCAGATAAATAATTTAAATTGACATTTCTAAACAACTAACACGTCATTGTTACATAATAACTGAAATAATGAAAATTTACTACATATTTTATATTTAACAAAGGAAAATTGAAACCTGAAATTGGAAAACGTTTTCTAGGGCACGCAAACAAACACCAACGCAATTGTTGGAAAGCGTTTTCTGGGAAAGTTGAAACAACTGTCAAAATCTAATATTTAAATACGTTTTCTAAACAATATTTCGTTTCATAAAAACCTACCATCGAAAACTTCACAAACGAAAAACCTCCTGGACCATAATATACTTGTTAACGTTCAAATATGAAAAATTGTAAAATGTATTTTACTATTATTTTATCCAACTTTTGTCCGGCAGGTTCCATGTTCACGACGCACAAACTAGAAACGAGAACCCAAAACTCTGGCAAAAAGTTTTTCCAAGTATTCGCCAAAAGAATTGCCAAGTCAGCGCCGGCGCCCAGGTGTCAGACGTGCGAGTGCAACTCGGACGACAACGGTATAAGTTTCATGGACTGTTATCCATGTTCTTATCCCACGGCCACTAGCATTGAATACGTAAGTCGCTAACGATTTTTACTCTGTAGACAAGCATAATAATAATTGTATCGCATCAACCAAGAAAATGTACCCGCTGGCAATAGAGCATAGTAAAGTACCTTATAATATAACGACATCAACTAACAATGTATGTACACTAGCTTGTATGCGACAGTGAAGTAACCAAAATGGTAAAAACCAGTATGACCTCAAAAAAGTTTTTAAAAAAACTTCATTGTTCATCGATTGGTACTCTACGTGATAAAAAAATTGTTTTTACCTTTTATCTTAATATTTAAAAACAAATCGTATTTAATATAAAACAAATATATTAATTTTTTTTTTTTCAAAATACTGTTATCATTAAAATCGGTTATCAGTTATTTCTTATCTGTTATCACCACGATAGGTTCAACGTTATTTTATTTTATTCTATCTGGGCAGACTGCCTTTGGCCTTTCTGTTTGCGTTACATTAAAACCACCATAGTCATACCTATCCGGCAATACAGAATTTTTTTTTAAGAGTTAGTGAACGACAAAACGTGATTAGTATGAATAACCATTGAGCTTGCTCGAAGTACTTTTTCAAAAGAATTTCTAAACATTACGTTCGATTACCCTGACTTTTCAAATATATTATTTTAATAAGTATGCAAATATTTTTCTCCAGGTTTAAAGTTGAGAGCTTTGGAACCCACCCTACGGTAGTCCCAAAAAAAGCCTATCCGTTAGACCAATTAAGTGGATTCTATCAGGAATTGACGATAAGAAAAACGGGTTCTTATATTTAACGGGTGGGGTTAAGAATTCGGATTTCAATATCGTCCAAATTATTTTTTATCTTTAAACTCCAAAACTATAACTTCAAACAAATTACTATTTTTTCTATGCTGGTTTGATTATTCATATTATAATACAATACCTTAATTATTGCCACATCACTTTTGTTATTATAAAATGAAAAACATTATTCCTCAATAATATTTTTAAATAATTAGTTTATATTAATTTTGTATAGTCTAAAAAATTAAAATAGTATCTATTTTCCATCAAACTTTTAGCTCAAAATTGCCATTGTTTCTTGTTAAAAATTCCCATAGTTTGGCATATTTAATTTCTAATTATTTAAAATGTAAAATGACAATTGTACGGCATAATAATTATTTATTTCACAGACCCAACGCGGCTAATATTATAATGTCTCACTTTTTTCAATTTTCATTGGAAACTTTGTAAAATACAATTTGTTTTAACGTTTAAAAAGAAAAAAATACATAACAATTTAAAATGAAAATAGAAACAGGATACCATTCTTAAGCAATATCAAACTATAATATAATATCACACTTAAAACAGTTTATAGCGATGTAAACCTGACCTGGTAAAAGTAAATTTTACACTTTTAATCTGTTTTCACAATAATGAATTAAATTCGGTATTTCGACTTATGAAAAGCCGGATTCACTTAATTAATCCAATAGTCGATTTCACACGAATAACACAAAAAAATCTCACAACACTCCAGAAAAATCTGCATTTTGATTTCACAATGAATATCGTCGAATCGAAAAGTATGGAAGGTACGTTTAACCACAATGGTTTCCAAAAGCTTTGCACTTGACGTTTGACAATATCTCAACAGAAACCTATTGTTAACCGATCAGATAATACCAGTAATCCGTTGACTGAATCTAAAAACGATTATCACTGAAAACTCAATTTGTATTATACTACTGACAAGGGAGTGGTGTCGAGTGATCTCGACCCGAACGGAAAAATAGTATTATGTGTAATTCTAGATACTGCTATATAATAATTGCCGACGGACTTTCGTTGATAATCCTCATTCGGCACACAATGTGATGTGCTCGATTTCTCGCGATATCCTAACAATGCCTTCTTTACCCACGAAATTAACAGTTTACGGATGAATTCCTACTGTCATTGCATGGTCGGTGAATATCACATACACACTCACTTGCCACTCGCCAGCACATAATCAACGCAAACCACTCGTAGTTAATGCTTTGTTCAGTTCCATCTCGTTCGCACACACAAAACAGCAACTCGTTCCAGATCCTCGTCATTTATTCGAAAAGGAATAAACACCAGATAATAGTCCTGCTCGTTTCTAATAAGTAAATAGTTTCTTAAGTTAGTCGTTTCCTTTAGAATAATATGATAAATAATAGAGATTCCGACAAATAATGTACTTACTCGTGAATAACTTTTTATAAGATAATTTGTATACTTATACTGTTTATAGATAAAATGTTATCTTAGGTAGCTTCAAATTGATATCTCTAATAGCTTATTTGTATTATGATTTGTTTAATAACCACGATCTTAGTGTAATATTGTTTATTAAGTGTCATCAACATTTAAAGATTCTACGGACTTGTAGTAGACTTGATTCAAGACTGTCACAACCAAAAATTTGGGTTTTTTGAATTGAGGCTATATTATGTCTGTTGCTATAATAATTGTTATCTAAAACATGGTCTACCACCACAAGTCGTAACCTGACCAACGTCTCTTAAATACAGTTGTGTCGGTATTAAATTTCTTCATTTTTGCGGTTAAAAAAAAATAATACTGCCACATTTTTAGATACTGCGTAATTGGATGTTTTTTTTTTATAGTCAAGCATAAGAAATCAAAACTGCCTCGTTTCGAATTGAGACATTTTAACATAAATCATAATAATTCTTAACCGGAAGACACTCGTAAAAAAATAATACTGCCACATTTTGGGTTATAGCATTGAATTAATTTAACTATAAAATAAAAACTGCCACATTTCTCATTGTGGCTGATAAAATAGCTGATTTGAAATGTTAAACTTCCACAAAAACACAAATATGATAGTTTAATTTTTTAATAGCCATAACCTCAATTTCTGGTAACTGTAAGAAATTTAACTAAGTAGTTTAAAATTAAAATAACAAGCATCGAGTAACATAGAAAATTGCAAAGTACTAAAATTTAAAGTTTTTAAAACTAACCATTTAAAATTAAATTTCCTTAAAACTATGTTTTTTGAGTTGAGGCAGTCAGTTATATTAAATAACTTGTTTCATTTCTATAAAAATAACTATCTTGACTATTTTTTTTTTGTTCTGTCTGATTTATTTATGTCCAATTTTAATATTTAACTAACCATTTTAAAAATAATTTTTTAAAATCTATTAAAACAACGATTATCTGCAAATAATAAATAACAAGTAAAACAAATCAAATATAACTCGAATATACTGATTTTTAATAAATAAACGGTCAAATAAAAAATATTTGTTCATATATCACATCGTCTAAATTGAACAATTTTCGTAAAACGCTTTATAATACTAAACCCTAATACATGCTATGCATTTATAAGATTAAAAAAAAAACCAAATTCAACATAAACTAAACAAATTGACATCGTTAAGGATCTATAAATAAATGTATGTCTACGTTCCTCGAAAATAGGATTACATTCCAGTTCTCTCCTCGTTATATTTTGGTTTTAAAAGAGAGCAGTTTTCGATTTCTTTCTTGCAAAAAAGTATTTTTTTCGGAAATTTATTATTTTGGGAACGTGTTTTTTCTCAATCCCGATACGAAATATAATATACCATTTGTATTTGATACTTGCAGCGAGCTTTAGGTATTATTATTTTTTTTTTATCGCAAATTGGAGTGTGCCAACTCGCATAATAATCCTACACTGTCAGCTATATAGACATAACGGACAAACGGTGCATGTTTTTCGCTTATTCCGCACATCCGTTTGTGTTTTTTTTTTAATGCGTTTGATGTACAATTTTCAAGTCACTTTATACGAATACATTTATCACTTGTTCGGTATCGCATTTTGGGAAACGTGTTGTGCTTGAACAATCACCGCGAGTACAGTAACGTTATATTCGAATAATATATAATGATATAATATGTAAACACCTTTGAGCATTTGTTTGTTTTTTATCTCTAGGTACTGTATAATATGCGATATATTATACAGAATAAACGCGTGTCGTTCGTCCGGACAACCAAATGAATAGTAAATGTAATTGTTATGTTGTAACACAACTTCAACGACACGAATTTGTTTTGTAAACTAAAGCGATATTATGTATATTGGTAAAATTTAACATGATAATATAATATTGCTATTGAAAAAACCTCTCGTTCCTTATCGGATTATCGTTTTCTTTAAGCTCGGTGTTTTTTCCCCTTCGTTTTTCAACAATATGTCTTTTGCATACAGTCGGGATGGAGACCGTCGTGTGATGTCAAAGATTGTGTGAGCTGTGTTATTTCATAGCGAGCAGATTGGAGACGTAGTTTCTGCTGACGTTACCTAACCAAAACTTTCGACAGGCAAAAGTAACATTAAATGATTGGTTGTGTGCAAAACAAAGACTATTGTTCATTACGATGGCGCGTAGGAGACACACGCACAAAACGTATAGGTATTATTATTATTATTATTCATTATTGTTCTACCTATAATGTGGCGACAGGTAGGCGTGCAGAAATCCGATTGGTAACCCAAAGCATAACTCTCTGACAAAAAAAAAAACAAAACAAAATTAATTACTATACTTTACTCGACTTTGAACGAGCCCTCTGAAACAAAAGTCAGATTATTATGTTTAATGAAAACACAATAATATACCTAACCTATTCTCATCGTCGGTCTCATGGGAACTGTCGTCAGTCGTGTAAGCCTCTCTACACACACACACACTGCCAAAAGTATAGAGACAGTGGAACCTCTCAAATACCATAATTAAAAAAAAAGACAGCGATTCCAATATTATCTATTTAGATAATCTCCTTAAAACGTACTTTATTATTAGACCGTATTTACCAGCTTACGAGTTCTTAAGTTTTTCTAGATAACAAAATATTGAACTCATACTAGATCGTAACCCAATTAGCCGATTTGACCGTATATTTAATTTGGATTGATCTTAACGAGGTCGTAAAGCAGCTACAAAAATCAATAAAAACCCACCACGTTACGAATACACTATGCTAGTTTAACCGTGTACATAACTATAGATTTAGTACTATTAATGGGTCAATAATCAGTTATACAGGGTGATCCATTTAACGTAAGACCCTCATTTTATCGGAAAATATTTGTTTTCCTAATTTTAACCAGTTATTTTTTAGAAACATTTGTATTTATGCAACTATAGTCATGACGAAAAGTTGATAACAAATAAACAAGGTAAACCACTGTCATCTTATTAGGAAAACATGTTTCATTTTTAATTTAATAAATGTTATTCAATAGAATCAAAATAACCATACCGTAAAATAAGGCCGATTCATTCAGAGTCGTTCAGTTCGGTTGCCCTAATATTAATCAAAGAAATTAATGTTTTAGTAAACGATTGTTTCCCTTAGTATAAAAATAGAAAAAAATGTGTGACATTTTTTTAGTAAATGAATTTATAATCAAATATTGAAATTTAATAAACAATTGGATATAAAGTTTTTAACTTCACACTACTATGCTTAGTTTATACTTAAAAGTAAACAGGCTATAATAAATAAAAATATCCAGGGTAAATTAATTCATTCAAAACTGGTAATCGGCCAGTCAACATTCCCAGCAAATTTTTCTTCTTTTAAAAATTAATTAAATATCATATATGTCTGCATTTAAGTTTCAAAATTTGGTAGTGCTATGGAAAATACTAAACAAGTTTAATAATTGGTAATTTGAATAAATTCTTCAATAACGTCAAAAAAAATGTTTCCAATAAAAACCATATTAAAAATTGTAAGTATTTTTCGATAAAATGAGTGTATTATAAATTACATTATATAATCACCAGGTATAAATCAAGAAACTCGTTTCGTCTAGTTCTCGTTGCTATTTACCTAGCGCAAGACGTCCAAACTGTTATCCCTCTGGTGAATAATATTAATTAATAAATCTCGGACTAGGTTAAAACTGAAAATAAACCTATTATAATATTATACACTATGGATAACTATTAACTATAAAAATGAATTAGTCGCATATTTATTACCGTGATACCCGTTTATTAACTGGATTTATTGATTGTGGTAGAACTATTTGGGGGGGGGAGGGGAAATGGGCGTCGAATCAATATTTACAGATGCTATCACGCCTATCTTAGAAAAGTATAATATTTTAGGCCCTATAATAATATAATTGAAAAATATTTAATAATTGTTTTTTTCTTTAACAAAATACTGTGTGGTAGGTATACCATTTTATTAGGTAATTTCCGATTTCGAAAATAGTTATTATATATTATCAAATGAGTTGATAAACTATAATACAATAACCACTTATTGGGAAAATATGTATAGTATCTTTTGAGTCTAATAATTATTGTATACACATATTTTGTGTACCCACGTCCAATCAATGTAGGATTTGTTGGGATTAGTTAAAAAATACTCGGAAAAAAATTAAATACAACTGGAAACACACTCTCGCTGTTTTCATTATTTTATAATATATACGTCCATGAGGCACCTGTATAATATCCTTAGTTAAGTATGTATAGTTAAGTTAAATAATAATAACTTTATAATATTGGTTAAACATTATGTAGTCACAGAACACAGATTGTGTTTCCATTCAGATATACCTATTCAAATAAAACCAACACGACTTTAACTTCATTAATTAAAATTTGTAAGTACATTAAATTTTTTTAGTTATTATTTAACAATCGTATTGTAGTCGTTTCAGACAAATACTAATTATTGTCTAATTGTCAAAGTTCAAGTAAGATTATTACAAAATACCCAACTGTATTAATAGCACTTTATTCAAATTCAAATCTGTTATCAAAATTAGCTATTTAAGTAAAAAATAATACAATTCGTTAACTATGTTCAATCAATGAGTTTGTTGTAACCCGATGATGGATTTTTTCGAAACTAGTAGTAGGTACTAGTTACAATTTCATGTCACTCTTAATAATTCTGTTATTGTTAAAATAATGTTTGTTCTTTCGTTATTGCAAAAACAGAAGAGTCGAACGTTCCAACCGGAACAGGTACCTGTAAAAAGACAAAATACATTTTTCAACATGTGTACTTGGAGGTGGCAAAATATGATTGTTAGTAGCGCCTTCCAAATTACATCAAGGCGAAACCCGTCACGGCGATAGATTTCCTGTTCAATTCCAATAGCGATTTCCTCTCCTTCTCTCTCTCTATCTTTGTACCTTTCCCTCCCCCAAAAACTGAGAAGCGCTAGTCTCAATCGACCAGTTCCTATCACAATACCTACTATCATGACTTATTACTTATTAGTTATTACATTACCTATACAACACAGCTTTCGTCTATATCATTTGCCGTCAAGGAAATTGTCTTTTTTTTTTTAACTCACAATGTTTTATAAAATGCACACAACAACGAGACGCGTGTGATCAGAATAACAATCGGCAATATATTATAGGTATACCGGTTTAATATAGTAATACGGTAGATATTTCAGCAACACCAATTTTAAAACGTCTGGATTTGATATTCATATTCAGAGACAAAGCCAAAGCCAAAATACCATAAATAATGTCGTGTACCAATGGAATAATTCTGCCAAACAACAAAATCATACCTCATCGATAATATATTATTTTTATGATTGTTTTTCATACCTTCGCAGTCTGCAAACAATAACAAGGCACGAAAACAAATTAATTTTTTTCTTATTGTGTGTTGTTTTAAAGTGTAAACAAGAGTAAATACAATTAAGAGATCAAATAGCATGACACAAAACTATAATGCGCAATATTAACGTGTTAAAAATATAGGGTCGATAAAAAATATTATTTAATTATACTAAGATTCAAGCTTGATAACGCAAAATCTCGGGTGCTACTATTTTTTTTTTTACAAATTAACTTAATTTAGTTACCTATCAAGTTAACCGTAAATCCTATCCGTAAACACCAATCTATTTAGTACCTTTACTTTTAGGTGTATATGATTGTCTTTCAACACACTCAAGCCGTTTCAATAGCTAGCTATCTCTCATTTTTTGCTGTCGTCACTACCTCTTTATACTTGCATTCTTTTCCTGATAGGTTTCTAATTTACTAATTTCGAGAATAATAATAAGTATAATATTACTTAGATTCCGAGTAGGTACTCCAATTAGATTTGTATTTCAACCACAGCTGTTCATAATGCATTATGCACTCGGATTTAGAGTAATACAAATCGGGCTGTACCATTTTGTCCACATTTTGTGGGTACATGATTATCATTTATAATAATATTAACTGTGTTTTTTTATGCGCTCTATAATGTAAAATATACTAAGCACTTTTGGTTTTTGTTTTTTACAGGGATTCACCGACGAAGAAGCGTCGCCAACGGTTTTCGCGTACGATGCCAGTAACACGTTTTTCGACGAGATGTAAACGACCAAACAATACAAATAATAATAATATATGAAATCGACACACAACAGTTTTATTGTTATTTCATACGTTGATACGTTTTTTTTTCATTTTTATGTAATATTAATTTTACATTAATAAATTATTGATCTGTTTGTTACCATCACACGCCGTCTAGACTTGTTTGCTCCAATAACATCTGCACGGCTACCGGCACACCGCTTTACCTAAAAGCGTTTTAATCGAAATTCGGGTGAATGATGATGACAAGCGTCCCTGTGGAAATAAAATATGGACCCATTACCCACCCAGTGTTGGCTTTATATGCAATTACTCAACGAGACCGTCGGTACCGCTGACGGAGGTAGAATTTGACGGAAACGTCATGTGGAAATCACAATAATAATCTCAGAAGCGTTTATTCGAAATCCAAGAAAACCGTCAGAGCAAGCCGTCATACTTATATTATGTTCTACTAAGATCGGCCTAGTAGTGCCGTGTACCAGAGTGAACTTTTATTAAAAACAAATCAGCTTCTCGGCACACAGAATAGACTATGAAAATATGGAATATTAATCTATTCTGCGCGTTAGGTCCTATACAAGACATGGTGGATAACACGGCTGTGAAAGAGCCGGACCGTCGTATTATACAAAGGTCATCGGCACTGGTGTGTGTTGACTGTTGACTACGGTACTATGGTTTAGTGAAAGTAAAATATCGACCTAATGTAAAAGCAAAAACAACACAATGCGCATGATAAACCCGTCCTGTGTGATGTACGTTGTTAAAGTTCTTAGATTTATCCATTTAACGTCACAATTGCCCAAAATTATAATTATTCGCAAACTGTTGCAAACCAAATAGGTAAAACAAAGGCAAAGTACAAATATTATTTATTTTATGTCGTTTTGACCGTTGGTAGTTTTGGGCGTCGCAGTTTTGTACGAAGCCACGAATCATCATACAATAAAAAGTTCTTACAGTTAATGCTATACTCAAAACCACAACCTATTGAAATTTAACATAGGGAAAATCAAATATAGATTGTGAATTTTATATGAAATTTCATCCGACTAATTCCTAACCTTTTAACACATTCAATAGCTCAACGAGCGAGAAACTTGAGAAGTTTAGACTTTGAGGCCATAGATTTACCGGGAAAATAATATTGTACCAACATTTTATATTATTATCTAATATCTATATTAAATCGAAAAATATTCTAAATGAATTATATTGAACGTTTAAGTACAACTGTCCCTTGGAATATCTTATAATAAACCCTTCTGTAATGTCTACTCACCAAACTTTAAATAACATACTTGCTAAATGCGCTGTATTAATATAACCTAATCTAACTTAACCTTCTAAAGTTCTAAAATGTTGACAATTTTCATTGTTTGTTAATTAGGTAGGCACATCCAAACTCTTTGGATTCAAAATATTTAAACTGATGAGTAGCAAACTGACAACAAACTGACTACTATGTTGTTATTACACGAGGTTTACAATCACTCATAAAACAATTAATAGTTGCGGATTTTGTACGTTAACGGTATAAGACTATTGGTGTTAAATCCAATCTCCTTCCACGGTTGATCCCATTATCGTTTTCCCGCCGTCAGTTCCTTTCACCGCATATAAGTAGAATTTTTTTCCACAATAGATTATTATAGAACAATTTAACGGTGTTAACCTCGTGTAAATACTATGCCCTTTTTTTTTTAGCCCACCATTATACTTCAAGTACTAAGTCGGAGGGCGTTTAATAGGTTGAGGACTAGAAGTGTTGTAAAAATTAAAAAATACTGTTCAAACATCAGCTGCACAGTTACATCTTTAGTCGAGTTACACTACTCAACATGTACATTGTCGTTTATTGAACCATAAATGCACACCATTTAGTTGAAAAAAACACAATGTATGAACATAAAATTGCCTATAGTTCACCAAGGTTTACTAAGTTATAAGTATCTTTATAAAATGTAATTTTTTTTTTTTAAATAATTAAAGTCCTCGTCAAAATCGGCATAGCTCATAGCTGTGTGATATCAAAGCACGATCCCTGTAATAATATGTCTCGGTACTGTCATCCTATGTATCAGTATCGTTTTTAAGGTTTGCTATTTATTTAACTCGGCTTTTTTGAATTTATTCCTTAGGTAGAAATAGTTCGTAAAATAATCTAGCGCATATTTTATGTTATATTTAACTTCCAAGTTACATTTCGTCGCAGCTTTTGTAATAAGATTTGATTTTTTTTTTAATAGTTTTGGTGTTATTATTATTATTTTTTTTTAACAATTTTTAGCCGCATTACTTATTTTTAGGTTCAACTATTACGATCCTACGCAAAGTCTCTCACATGACCACTGTTAACTCTGTGAACTGTTTGTGAGGAGAACAAGAAAAATTCACACCTGCGAGACCGTGTAGTCGCTGCTCTGTAACTGTAATCGACTGCCACGAAAGAAAAAAAAAAGATACACATATAACTGTTGTGCACTGTGTAATGTGTGTATAGCCGGCGAACCCGTTTATTGCCACAACAACAGTGTACAGCCTTCCCGGTTGGTCGTTACCAAAACACACTTACCTATTTCGACGGTAAATACAAAATGTATGTATATACATACCTAGCAGTAGCAGTGGTATAAACGCCATTGAGTTTGACGAGCAACAGTGGCATTTCTTAATCTGTCCATTTAACCCATTTTGTATGTTGAGAAAAAAAATATATATATATTCTGTCGCCGTTAAAGTGTGAGATACAAGTTTTACTTATCTAATGCAATGCGGAATTAACAGAACTGGTATAATATTATATTCAATATTATACTTGCCCAACGATAATGGCCTAATAATCTGTATCCTATATTGGATATAATATTGATTATAAAAAAATAATATTATTTCTAATCGATGTTTCTATTAATTTAAACTCCGTTTAAGTTTAGCTTTTTTTAAGATATTTAAAAAGAGTACCTATATGCTTGCGAATGTTTTTTAGTTTTGTTTAAAAAAAAAATCTAAAAAAAGACTAACATACAAAAATGTATTGAAAACATTTATATTATTTTTAAGACATATTTATATTTTAGTTTTACACTCTTAAACTTTTGGTCGATACACCTTTGGTGGTACCTTTGGTACAAAAAAAAACACGTAATTAATGTGATTTGCGACAAAATATAGCGCAGACCAAAACCATTTATTTATTGCTTAAATCCTAATAAAAAACCCATAATATTTGATACATTAATTTCAAATGTCATACTATCATAGTTTCTATTTAGTTGACTCTAGTTTTATGGATACAAGTTACAATTAACTAAATGAGTTGGTTTATGGCCAAAATTAAGAATTCTTAGTTTAATTAGTATTGTATGGTATTACATAATATTAATGGATTTTACTGTGTAAGTGTTATAAGAAATTAACCAAAATATAACGCTTTATAAATTTGTTTTTATTTGTGAGAAAGTGAGAAAAAAAATTATCATTATTTAGACTAATACCATTGAGTATATATTGTAACTAATACATACCTACTCAAATCTCAATGCTAATACCTAATAATTTGTCTATTTCACTTACACGTTTTACAGTTTTTAATGTAAGAATTGCTAGGAAATGCCGCTCTTTGCAAGTTCCATCAGCGTTAGTGTAATCGTTAAATACTTATAAAATTACCAAAATAAATTAATGGCATTTTTTAAACAAGGCTTCCATTTTAGCAAAACATTAAGTCAATTGTGATGGCAATATGTATTATGTTGTTTAATAAACTGGTAACAGATTTAAATTCAAAATAAAACAAAAGTCAATGCTCAGTATGACAAACATTTGTTTGAAAGCATATTGTACATTTATATTCGGAAAATTTGTTTTTTCTATTTCTATTTAATGTCTTTTTTGAATTCCATTTCTAGCAATTTTACTTTGTTTTAGGTGTGAAACCAAAGTTTTTGAACAAGAAATTAACATATATATCGAAAATGTAACTCCAGAAAAATAATATATTAAGACTGTCCATCGTTTTGCAATTAAATGATTTCTTTATCTTCTCTTAATTGTTTCGGCAGACCATTCAATAGTTTTTTTAACTATAGCGACTATTGAACTCCAATATTGTAGCTTATCATAATGTGTTTCTTTCATTGCTTATAGACTTATTACGTTTCCAAATTACCTACGCAAACAAATACATATGTCAACAAATGTAATTGATAACATTAAAAAATTAATAATTTAGTACTAATTTTTATACCAGTAGGTACCTACTATGAACAGCAGTATAGAGTAACTATAGAGGTTATACGGAAACAAAACAAATGGGTATTCCGTATTAATATTATAATTATTAATATATTATTGGAATATTTTATGTAATTATGGTATTTTTTTTAATAACTTAAACCTTAGTAAAATCAATAGTGATAACGTGTTCATACGTTATTTGTATAGTAGAAATGTAGAAGCTAAAATACTATAAAGAAGCAGTACTTAAGACATCTATAATGGCAAATAAGATTTATTACCATAAAGAGTTTTGTTCATAAATATTTAAACTAATAAACTGGATTATGTTCTATAAACAATAATTTGATAAAACTGTCATATTATACAACGTGTTGCGCGTACGTTTGACTAATATTTTTTCTTCCTCTTCTGGTATTTATTATAAAATATTATAATGGGCATAAGATTATGCGTTCGGCCTTGCCAGTTCTAGACCCGTTTGGTAGTGTTTAGCTAATGGATAATGAAATTGTCGAATTCCGATGAAATCAGGAAAAAATTAATATATTATGTAAACAAATCAATCTTTCTCAACAAAAAAACAACCAAATGCCTACCTACGTCCATTCTGTCAGAACAAAATAAAGTTTGTAACATTAATTAAGACAATCATCTACACTATAATTCTAAGGCGGACAATAGTAGTTTTAATTTGCTTTACCAACGCAAAGTTATTCGAATTTGTTGATATGTTTCCAAATAATACCTACATTGTCACGTTCGGGCGATGGCAACGCGGCCGAGTAATAATAAAAAAAATCCGAAAAAAACGTGTAAAATCATCACTTTGTAAGTAAGTCTACGTGTGCCGAGATAAGAAAAAAATTGTGTGCGAGCAAGTGACTTAACAAAACATCACAC